TGGAATGCATGGGTTGGGTGGCAATTAACCCGCCCCCCGTGCCCCCCTTTCCAGGAGTAATGCTATTATTAAGATTGACATGCTGTCTTCTCGGTTAAAAGGCCATCAAGCCTTGCCCCTTATGTCTGTGCCTGGTTGCATCTACGAGGCAACACAAAATGACGCCCACGGAGAAAGAAATCTAATGCAAAAGGAAAATGCTAGCATATTTACTCCCCGGAGGAAGGCTATGAATTACATTTTCCTTTCAGAATCAACCAGATCTCTCTTTTCTGTCCCAGATCAAAACCAAGAAAAATACCACACTTTTAAGTGAGAAGAGGCTGAATCTGAGAAAAGATTCCTCTTCATGGCAAGTGGAAACAAAGCCAGTTTTTGTCCGTCATCCAGTTTGAATTTTTTAATTCTTAGGATAGCAAGTTGCAGCACTGGAGAGCTTCATAAAGGACCAACTTGTGAAACACACCCAAAATAACCTGAGGATTTCATTTTCATGGATAAATAATGGTTTTTAGGATCAATCCAACTGTGGTCTGCCAAGTAAGCAAATTTTAGATTTTCGTAAATTGCATGTTAAATTTAGCTTCATGTTGTGTTTGCCCAGCAGCACAATATTAACCCCCCCCCCTCTCTAATGTGCTATTTTTCCATCTCTAATTTAGGGGAAAAAATGGGTGTGCTAGTTTCCCTTAACAGTTTTGTGTCCCACAATCTCTTTTTCTTTTCTTTCAAACAGCCAATTTTACAAGAACAAGAATAAAAATCAAGAACAAAAATTTTACGAGAACAAAAATCATCCTGCAATTCACATCATTTCTTTTTGGTCATCTCCAAACTATAAACTGTTCACTGGACAAGAAAAATTGGAAACATTTTATTCGCAGTGGAAATATTACTTCCTGCTGTTTTGAGTTTTGATTAAACCTTTAAAAATAACTTTAAAAGCAACTACTCACGGTGTCTAATTCGCGTTTGCAGGTTGCAGTTGTAACAAAATTTTTGTTTGTTTGTCTGTTTGGTTCTCACAGCTATCTTGGGGGACATTTGTTATTACAGTTTTAAAGTATAAATTAAAACCAGCAGGAAAATGGTATGAAGTCAGCAATATGAAGGAGTTTTAGGAAATGATTTCAAGATGTAATTCCATTTAAAACAAATACATCAACTTGTTGAGACATGCTCCGAATGGCGCTTTCCTCTGCTCTCTCCGCTCAGGGCACTGGCGCTTGTGCCCGAGTGCTCTGCCCAGCCTTTAAAATCCGAGTCGAAACGAAGAGGAAGGGTATTGCCCAGCCAGTGACCGAATCATGCCTGAACAGGTTATATTCTTCCGGGGAGCAGAGTCCCCTGCTGTATTACACAGTGCTTGAAAGACTCGTCTCAGTTTCTCAGACAGCTTGTCCATCTGGCACGGGGACCGCTCTTTGGAAACAGAATCCCTGTGTCCCCTTTCAGCCAAGGGACTAGTCCACTTGATCCTTTTGTCTATTGATGTGAAGGCCTGGGGAGGGGGCGGGCAGGGAAAAAACCCGGCACAGGGACCAGAACTATGTGGGGCTTCCCACCAGATTTCTCCTGGTGTGACCCAGTTTATCCACTAGCGATGTTTGGAAAATTTGGATGGAGAGTGCTTTTTCCAGATTGGTCTGGTTTCCCCCCAGGCCTTTTAATCTCCAGTACTGTCTCCAAATTAAGAGATGTGGGGAATATATTTAACTGGAGGAATAACCAGAGAAGGGTACCTAAATTCCAAATTGCCAGTTTAATTTGATTCTTTGAGACAATCGTCCCTAGGAAGTTGGGTATATAAATAGTTGTTATGGTAAGAATGGTCACGAAATTCTAGTCATGACAAAAGTTATCAGCTCTTCCAGGAGAGTTATGGAAGATTTAAAACTATTAAAAAGATTTAAAACCATTAACTATTAAACTGTTAAAACTATTAAAGGGATGTAGTCATTATATTAGCATGATAGAAGGCAGATCCAAAAGGCAAAGTTCTGAAGCAAACTGAAATTCATTAATCTGGAAAGATTATCAAGCTTTTTAAATCTGAAAATAACGAGAATGTGGGCATTAATTTGGAAATGGAGCTTTCAAAATTTGATTCTAAAATGATATTAAAAATAAATCTTTGTTTGGACAGGGTTTGGTTAACTGGATTACGGTCCATTATCTATGCAGTAGAAATTTAAATGGACATAATTTATTTCATATTCGCAATGCAATCATAGCTAATTTCGAAATATATGTAAAATAATCTTCTCATCTCAGATGTTGCACTGCATGAAATACATGTATACATCCAAGATTAGCAAGCATATCACACACACACACACACACACACACACATGCGTACTTGTCACAAAAATGCACTCGGTCAAAAGTGCTTGATCTAAATGGGCATCAAGAGCACACATTAAAATTTGCTTCAAAACTAATTTAAAGTCAGTCTAAATTACAAATCGCTGCAGAGATGGTTTTTGTTTTCCCCTCTCTGTTTTACGTGTGATGTGATTTGGAAAACCAAACACTGCACCGGAGCGGCTCCAAACACGCGTCCAGAAGTGGGGGGCCAGCTGAGCTGGAGCGGCATTGCTGGCTGGTGGATGCTGGGAGTGGTGGCCCACACAGCCGGGGACCCCTCGATTGTGCGAAGCTGCCGGGGCGAGAATAGATCGGAACGAGGAGCAAAACAAATGCGTCTTGCTCCTGCCTGAGCAAACCATCCTGCCTTCCGAGCCCCAGCCAGTCATTGCTCTGCCGTTCCACAGCAAGCGCTAAGCAGGATCCCAGTTGGTATTTTCCTGGGTGCACAACCCACGATGGTCTGTCCGCACGACGCTGCCACGAGGGCAGGGGACCCCCATTCCCCAGAAGAGCAATTTGTTGAAAGCCTTTTCGATTTGCATCCCGTTGCACTGTGCTTATTTCTGAAAGCAGTCACCCAGTTGCTACCCTGGCGGGTAAAAAAGCCTCACATACAACATGTTCTAACGACGTCTTGAAATCTCCAGCGTTTGGGTTTAGATATGTTTAGCAATGCTAAAATGGCAATGGCTGAGAGAAGGCTAGTGTGTGTCTTTGTTTTTATATTGATATGGTTATGTACTCTCTGTTCTCCGAAAGCTCATCGAAGAATGCGATGATCAGAAAAAAGAGCAGAATGTAGGTGTCCTAAGCCATCACACATTTATTTGCGCAAGAATTCACTGCACACACCAAAATCACGCCTGGTCTTGGAGAGAGAGGAGCCATGCTGAGAAAAGCCTACGCCGCAGACTGTTCTATTGTTCCATTATTATTATTATTATTATTATTATTATTATTATTATTATTATTATTTTGCTTTTAAAAAATCAGATTCTCTGCAGACTGATGAAAAACTAGGTGAACTGATCTCACCAGGAAATCACTGACTAGATGATGCCATGTAGATGCCCTGTGAAATGTGAATGAATGAGATGTGGCTACTCACCTTGGGTGGAACAGAGTGACCCTCCCTCCCCACCGGCATTCAACAAACCCCTCCCTCAGCGTTGGCCAGCTAGGCTTCTACCGTTCTGCTTCCAAGGGTTATTGTAAGTACGATGCACCTATTAAATGCTTTGAACACTGGTCAGACCAGATTCGAAATCGCTTGATTTTGCAGAATTCTTAAGCTTGATTCGTTCTAGCAAAAACAGGCTCCTGTCTTTTTAACCATTTTTAATGAATTTATATTTCAAACTGGCTTTAAATCTTGCCATGTGTTTAATGAATGCATTATTTTGCTCATCGAGGCTTTATATCCCAATTTGGTGAGACGAGAGGCTGAGGCAGACAGGAAACATAAAAATGAATACATAAAAAGCAGTATTATTTTTCCAGGCATGTTTTAAGAGATATACATTCATATTTCTTGGGAAAGGAAATTGGTCAGATTTCATGCGATTAATTATTCATAATCTTTTAAGGCAAGTGGGATATTATTTTGCAAAATTAATTCAATCTGTCCCTTGTGGCTTGGAAAGCAGAGACTGTAAAAATCTGACCGGTTTGGGTAGAAAATACTTTAAAACATACTTTAAATGTTATTCCCCTTAACAACATGTCTGGGTCCTGTATACAATTATTCATTTAACATCGAATCAAAGGAACTTTGGTCATCTTAATATAATGGGCTTACTCAATTCTGATGGAAGGACAGAAACAGTCGTTTTGATATGTGTAACTGCGTAACTGATCAGTCAAGAAGCAATTAAACAGAACCACAAGCACAAGAGGCAATTAAGCACAAGTGCTTTCCAGCCAGCAATCACTTCTCTAGCTAATAATCCAATAAGGAATCTGAGCAAGAGAAGGCAGCTTGGTGAAATAGATGTCATGTTAAGACCGGAGCTCAAAATCTCACCCAGTCCACTCCATCTTGCTCTTGCTAGAAAAAAATCATGGGGCGGAATGCAGCCCTGAGTTCTTGGCAGGTCAGGTGAGATTTGAAAGGTACTTGTGCTAAAAAATAAAAACCGGCCAAGACGGCATATTTATACTTTTTCGAAGGGGATAAATCTTGTGTGGGAAACCAACTGTGTATTAGAGGTGGAAATAACTGTGATCTAACTTGGGTATCGCAAAGAAGGACTACGAAATCCTCATCTTCACCGTTCCAAAATGGGCCATGCCAGGACTTTCTCCCTGGTGCAAGGAAGCAGCAACGTCCAAAGCATGTGATGGCCAAGCTGGCCGTCAAAGCCAGTGGGAGGCACGCCAAGCCGGTGCTCCCAATTAAATGAGGGGCGAAAGGGTGGGGAGAGCCAGGATTGGCTGGAGGGCCAGATGGCCGCCCGCCCGGATTGGCTGAAAAGAGAGGGAACTTTGCGGATGGCGCTCGCTGACATGGGAGCGGCCGCCTCGCCCCAGAGCTGAGCAAAATATCCAGCCGATGTGCTGGGCAGGCTGGCTGGGCTGTCGACCGCCGGGTGGATCGGGGAAACCCAGCTCCCTCTGCCCTCTTGCCGGCCATGGAAGGGTTAAATGCCGACAGCTGGGTCCTGAAATCTCCCTTCAGCATCACCAACCTCCTTCAGGATGTGGCCTCGAGCAAAGCTCCCGAGGGATCTCCATCATCGCCGCTGGGGGAAGAAGGGAACGGGGCGGCAGCCGGGGCACGGCAGCAGAGGCTGGGGAAAGACCACCTGGCCGGGGAGAAATGCGAGAAGCCGCCCTTCAGCTACAACGCCCTGATCATGATGGCCATCCGGCAGAGCCCGGAGAAGCGCCTCACCCTCAGCGGGATCTACGAGTTCATCATGGCCAACTTCCCGTACTACAAGGAGAACAAGCAAGGCTGGCAGAACTCCATCCGGCACAACCTCAGCCTCAACAAATGCTTCGTCAAGGTGCCCCGGCACTACGACGACCCCGGGAAAGGCAGCTACTGGATGCTGGACCCCTCCAGCGAGGACGTCTTCATCGGAGGGGCAACGGGCAAGCTGCGGAGGAGGTCGCCCGCTTCCCAGGCCAAGCTGGCCTTCAGGAGAGGAGCGAGGCTCGCTTCGGCCGGGGTGACCCTCGCCGGGTCCCTCTTCTGGCCCTTCCCTCCTCTGTACGGGGCCTCAGCAGCATACCTGGGGCATCACCCGAGCTCCCTGTCCTCTATTTTCCCCCATCAGGCAATTACTTCTCCGGGGATGCTTGGACAATTGCAAGGAAGTAGCCCTTACGGGAACTGCCAGCACACTGCCGCAGCGACGCTGACTTCGGCCGTGCCCAGTGGCCTCTCCGTCCCCAGCCGCCTGGACTCCTGTTCTGTCAATGTCTTGGCAGGCCAGACAAGTTACATCTTCTCTCAGAAGCACCACCACACCTTGCTGACCCACCCTCCAGGTAGCCTCCCATCCAAATGCACTGGAGACCTCCTCAGTGAAGCTCCCCCGATGTTCCCGGGACAATTTTCTCCAGAGATCCCAAGCTACTTCCCTTTTCACAACCAGAGAGCTCCGTTCAGCCCAGGTCTGCCTTGAATGCCATCCCTTTCCACAGCCTCCTCGCCACTTAAAGAACTTCTTGCTGGATAATAGCAAGACCCAAAGTGCCTCTGGCCATCAAAGGATGGAACAGCTAGATGCGTCGTGCTTTGGGCTACTTTGCTTTCCATCCATGATCTGTGGAAACTCCGAAGAAAGGTTGATGGTTATTCTATCTAGATCCATGCACTCTTTTTTCCTCTGTCTTCTCTGGGGTAAGGAGACAGGGTATCCTTCGGGGTCTACCAACATGAACGAACTTCCTCCGTTATTGTGAACTGGAATGAGCCAGATCTTCAAGCACGGATGCAGGTCAGAAAATTTCTGATGGAGGGCTAAGCTCTAATTTTGCTACTGCATTTCAAATCAAGGCTGGTGCTCTGAAGTGAAGGCGAGATAGAATTACCCTAGCAGATGCCAGCCAAAATAATTCCTATGTGCCCATTTTCACTTGCAGTGTCGTTTCCAGCTTTCCCTTTTTAGTTCATTGTGAATCAAAGAACCAATCTTTGCTCATTTTTTCTGCTGAATATCCTGGCGGTTTTCTAATTTTTGGATGCACGTGCGAATAATTTTTAGAAGTGTGAAATGCCTGAGCCACCACACAATCAGGATTTAATTTAGCTGGGCTGTGATTTATCTGCTAAGCTTCTCCTTGCAGTTTGATGTAGATTGTTTGGGCTGTGATTCTGAACACACTTAGAAGCCAGGTCATCGAAGTCCGCAAGGCTTGTGTTCAACTGAAAACGTTTAAGGCCGGCAAACCTAGCACAATGAGTCTAAGACATGTTTGGGAGGGAGGTCCTGGTGGTGCTATTACCGTTACTTTACTTAGCAGTAGCAACGCACATGGCATTTCTCATACTGCATAGCGCGAAACACCAGAACCTGTCCGCAAGCACGTTGCAGCCCAATTAAGTCGTGCAGGGAGATAACAAGATATCAACGATATCTGCATTGTTAGTTGTGGAGTCATGCCCGGCCCATCGTGACCCCATGGACGACGGAGCCGTTCCCACCTCTGTGAGCCGCAAGAATTTTGAGAGGCGCTGTACTTACCAGGCGTGGAAGGGGGTTCCTGAGGCTGCTTTCTAATCATTGGTTTATTTGCAAATAAACGGGCTGTGCTTCAGTGGAGGTGTAGCTCAAATGCTCTAACAGACAGCCCAGGTTTGCTGCTCCCGCACCGTCTCTAGGAAGACACCCAGCCCTCAGGATGCTTCCGGAGCTGCCCGTGCAACTTTCTCGGTTTGTTCTCCATCTGTCTCAAAGTGCAGCTGTCTTTTGCTTCCTTTCATGCCTCATCCTTACCTGGGGAACAGCTGCTCCTGTCACTGGAAATTCCTCCATTTAGAAGGTTTGCTTGAAGCAAGTGCTTAACTGTTGAATTCCCATGGGGACTTGTAAGCTACATTTTGCCTACCAGCGAAGCTGTTGGGATAATATCCCATTCCCAGGTTGAATCGTAGAATTACCAGGTTGGAGGAGATCCTAAAGGTCATCCAGAGCAACCCCTGTCTGGTTTGTGATGGGACTAAAAGAGCCCGCCAGGGAAAAGCAGGTACGGTTTCTCCCAGAGCCCCATGCAAACAACACCACCGTGCAGTTCGCACACACAAATTGTTCCTCGCAACCCCACATTTCAACAGGGCATATCGAAAACACCATGCCGGTTCCAACCAAAGGTCCATCTTCCCTAGTGGCCTGTTTCCAGCAGCGGCCAAGCTCCGTTTCCCTTTAATTCCAGGGTACGACAAAGGTAGGCAACTATTGTTTGTCCACTGCGTCTTGTGATCAGAACTAGATGGTCTCCATCTCTAATTCCCATAGCTGATGATCATTCACAGATCTGCCCATGAATCTGTCGAAGTTCAGAAAAAAGCTAATGCAGCAAATGACCGCCACCACGGCCGGCTACGATGCGTTCTGTAAGCGGACAGTGCAAGCCACTTGGGAGACGGGCTTCATTCCCAGATCAATTTCATGTAAAAACCACACAAATCTAGTGAATAGCAGCAGGCCGGGGGAACAATGGCCTTCGCTGGCACAGACACCACACGTGCGACCTTCTGCGTTGCGTTGCTTGTGTTTTGCTCGTCATGGGAAGCGCTTGAGCGCGAGTTCTGCTGACACGGGAGTTATCCCAAAGACTGATTGCATCTTGACGTGTGCAGATTAATTGGCTTGTGCATTGTGCTGTCTGGTATTATTTAATTCTGTGTAAGGTGCTTTGAACCACAACTCCATAGCCCAGGCCTGAGCACATTTCCAGGATTAAGCAAGTCCCGTTGAGCCTGTGTGTTTGAAAATGGGCTCGGAAGCATCCACGTATTTATTCCTCACTGTTTGCGGTGCCTGTTACAGGGTTGTTCAGAATTAGTTGCTGCAATTGTGTTTGATTTCCCTTCCTTCAGAGAGCAAACAAACCCTTTGCTCGCAGCCAAAATTTCAATGGCATAAATCACACCATAAGGGAACAAAGTACAAAGCGTATTTCCGGAATTCTGTTGACCACTTTCGTGTGTGCTTCTGTTTAAGAAAGATCTGAGGGTGAGAAGGAAGTCATGTTTTATGCCATTCCTCCTTGCCATCCATTTTTGACTGAAAAGTTTGACTATACCTGCTAATTTTTGAAGCATTGCATTAATTATTTCCATTTGCTGGTGCGAATGGAAAAATAAGGACAAGCCCTTCAGGGCTTTATCCAGCACATACTCCACAAACATAAATATGGGTTTAACAGGAACAGCATGATCAGCTAGCAAACACTGCACCTAGCAAGCTTTGTTGAAATTAATTATATTTGCATGACAGAGAAGAGCTCTGTAGAATGCAGCTTTAAGCTTCCATTACTGCAAACCATGAATTCAGTTTTGCTTGGGTGAATAAATGACACCAAACTCAATAAAGATATTTACATGTTTTACGAAATCAGTGGCTGTATTTTATTTTGAATGTAATTCTTGCGCCATTACAAGACCTGAGGACAGTTGGAATCAAGTCAGGGTGGTAATTACTGTAAACTGTTGAATCTTTCCCTAGCCCCATGAAATTGGATGAAACTATTCGATCATACATGCATGTGTGTGCCTGTGTATGAATAAATACCCTGCCAGCCCAAATCATCAGGAAAGCATGCAACATAAATCAAATAAAAAATTTTATAATCTAAACTTTTAAAAACAGTCACCCTAAATCCTGAGTATGAATATTGCAATCACTGAACAGAAGGTATTTTTGATGAATTGCCCATTCGTCATCTGACTGGACGTCGCTGCCGGGCCTACGAAGCTCCGTGGGTCAAACCAACCTACTGTTCTAGCCAACTGGACTTCCACCAAATTGCCGAATGCCCCTCACCACCCTCCATTCCTGTCCTGCTGGCAGCATGCAAAGGACCCGAGCAAAATGAGGGAGTTGTCTGGACAGGCAGACATGCGAGGAGGGAAGGCAGCCGGCAGTAACCAGAAGTGCCTGTTGATGAAACACAAGCACGGCGTCTCTCCCACAGGGCCGTCTGTTGACTTTTATGGTCCTCCGCACATCCACAGAGCACCTGTCTCTTCTGTGCTCCTCAGATACAGCGCCCGCCACTTGAACACACATCCGCTGCCCTCTGAATATTTTAGCCCTGGGGATAATGGGGCTTTGTAGCCAAGAACTGGACTGGACTCTGCAGCTGCGAGCTTGTCCTGGGGGGAACAGCACGATCCTCTATCTGCCTACTCGGAAGTTAAGTCCCATTAAGTTTGACAAAGCTTATCTCCAAGGATAGAGGCAAGGAACAGCAGCCTGTGAGCAGTGCCGAATATGGAGGAGAGGGCATGGTGGTTGTTAGGTCCTCCTTGCGGATTTCTGGAACAGAGCTGGCGGCTCTCCATAAATATAGAAAAAGACATTCACTTCCTGTGCTGTTTTTCTGATGTTGGCATATGGTTTGAATTCAGCATGCTCTAGAGTCATGGCTAGAAAATATTTACTCAGAGAATCTTGTGAATCCAAACATCTGCTTCTTGCAAATACGACTTCAGGCAAGTGATTAGACACGTGCACAACATGGATATCAATAGTCGGGCAATGGAGAAATCAACTGCAGGTACAAGGCAGAGAGTCTGTTTGTGGCGGTGATAATACAGCATTAATATCAGAAATTAGAGTAAAGCTGAGAAAGATCACAAACAAAAGCATAGTGAGAAAGAACAATTTAAATACTATTCCTGAGGAATTTAAAGTTCATATAAAAATATACAGAAGAGATAAGATGCCAGAGGAATCCTATGAGAAAGGAAATGGACAGGAGGAAAATTCAAGCTGAAGGGTTACTCAGCCTTCCATCTTCTTCCAGCAGCCGCTCGCGCAGGAAACCTCGCGCAGAGCGAAGCCTTTTGCCTCCTTTCGCTCGCCGTAGCGGGGGCGGCCTTGGGACGTCGGCACGGCGCGTGCGCGTCCCAAGCGACCCGGAAGCGGAAGGCTGCCATCGCAAGCGGCGGCGGGGTCGCGTCTCACGTTAGCTGGAGGTTCCCTCGCGGAGAACGACGGCGGCGTCATGTGAGGACGCGGATGAGGGTTTGGGGCAAGCGGGCGGCGGCGAGGGCGGCGGGGGGGGTGTCTCTCGCTCTGTACGGCGCCGTAAATATCCGAGCAGGCGCCCAGTTTAAAGAGCGTTGCCTCTTCGAAGGATCGCCCCGGCTGGACTTCTTCCGGGCCTGTCCGCCCCCCCCCCCCAGCCCCTTCCCCCTGCCTCTGCCTCGATGCCTCCGAATGGGTGGATTTGCTCGGCATACTTGGCCGTGCCTGATCTTTCCAGGGTTCGAATGCTTGTGCCCGCTCAGTCGGGTGGTTCTCAAGTTACTTTCTCAGTCACGTGTTTCATCCGCTTTCGTGTCGTCTCGAGATTTTTCTGCCCAGAAGGCCTCCCAGAATACTCCACAACATGATATAAGATACCAGTGTGCTTGTCCCCTTCTCCAGAAGAAGGGAGATCTTTCTTTTTGTCTCTTCCTGCATCCCAGCCTCAAGCTGTGGCGTGGAATTCATGTACCCCTTTGCTTCTGGCTAAGAGAGATTGAATTTATTATTTGTTAAAAATATTGACAATCTTACTAGCATTAGAGTATAGTATAGTTAAGCATGCCATCAGGATGGCGATTAGTCTAAATTTGTGCAATATGCAAATCTTTGGTCTTGTTTATGACGGTTTCATGGAGGGACTAAACAAAACCCTTGGTCTCATGCTCCCCTAATTAGAGATGGTGGTGGTAGAGATCTTGCTATTCCATTGCTCCCCAGTACAGGAGGCATGTTAGATGTGTTAATCCCAGAGTTTAACAAATACTGTTTCTCTACTTTCTCTCAGGAGCCTCTTAAACAAGCCTAAGAGTGAGATGACCCCGGAGGAGCTGCAGAAGCGCGAGGAGGAAGAGTTCAACACAGGGCCTCTTTCTGTCCTCACACAGTCTGTCAAAAACAATACTCAGGTGCTGATCAATTGCCGCAATAACAAGAAACTTCTGGGGCGTGTCAAGGCCTTTGACAGGTAGGATCTTTTCTGTGGCTCCTCCAGTTCTGCTGGAAAGTTAATGGTAGCTTTTAGTCAATTTCTGGTTTGTGCTAACAAAACATGCTAGATTATATTTAAGATATCATCTTAATGTAATGGTAAGCCACAACTTTCCAGCCTGTTAAGCTTTCTCATGGGGTTCTCATGTTGAACAATTTCCCTTGTGGGTGAGGCCCCATGACTACGTAATGTCATTCTTTTCCCATTAGGCACTGCAACATGGTTTTGGAAAACGTTAAGGAGATGTGGACAGAGGTGCCCAAGAGTGGAAAAGGCAAGAAGAAATCTAAGCCTGTCAACAAGGATCGCTACATCTCCAAGATGTTTCTGCGTGGAGATTCAGTTATTGTGGTGCTCAGAAACCCCCTTATAGCTGGAAAGTAATGGGCTGTGAGAGGGTTGCAGGTGCCCTAAAGCTTAGTTTAACAGGCTGCTGCCTGCAGGATCACCTCTGAGAGACTGGCATAGTTGACCGGTAGGTTTAAGCATTGACATTTTTCCGGAATAAATTCTGTACTGTGGGCATTTATTTCCTTATGAAAGAAAGTAATTGAACAACTTTTGTACTATCTAAACTGTACTGATAATCCACTTCCCAATCACCCAGGGTTATGCTACCATATCCCACGTTGGCGTACTCTTTTTTTTAATAAACATTTTGTTAAATTTCTCAACCTTCATTTTTTCCCGGGACAGAGTACTACCTTGGGACTTTCTGATGGCACTGGAGGAGGCGGGTCATGCAAGGCTGCTGCCCCCCCCACCCCCATGTTAGGCATCTCAAAATAAATCCTCTTTTAAATTCTGTAGCTCTTCCTTTTCTTTACTTTCCCCACTGGGATAAGTCATAGCCCTCTTCCCAGTTCTGTCTCTATTACCTCTGCTTCTGTCCTACAGCTGTGCAGGAGCTGCAATGAAACATCTTCCTTATCTGGGCCAACATCAAAGAGTACATGAACTAAAGCTCTGCTCTGGGGCCCAGAGCTTAGGACAAATTGACTTAGTAACAGACGTGTCATGTATGACTTAACCCAATGGCAGGAAAAGTTTTTTCTTCTGCTTAGTTTCTGAAATCGTGCCTCCTTTAGAATTATCCACTTTAAATCTTCAGCAGCCATGTGCAGAGTCAAACCTGGAGATGGAGTAAAAATTAGTAAACATGTCTGCCTCTGAAATGAATCTTATACCAGCTTGAAACCTGGGGAATTTTCTAAACTGAAACCTGAATGTTCCATTTTAAGTATTAAAATATTTTATATTAAATATACTAAATATTTTAAAATGGCTTGATCACTTATAGGGCAGTAATATTTCAGCATTTACTTCCAAACATCAGTATTGCATTCCTTTAAAAAAAAATCTGGTAACATCCTTGATGCACATATTGTAAAACCACTCAAATTAAAAATGTGCATTTTTCCCCAAGTTCAGTTCGCTAACTTTATTAAATTTCTGCATCGCCCATTAGCCAATATGGCTCTCTGTGTGGTTTACAAAACGTAATATCAACATACGCAATAAAAGAGTAATATTAAATTGCATACAAACTAAACAATGAAATAGCGACAGTAGCACACAATAAATACCCCATGGTTGAATGACATAACTCTGCCTAAGAAACAAGCTTGTTTGGAAAAGAAACACTCATTTATATGACAGTCCCTGAATCTCAAGGCAGGTTTATTTTTGTCTGTTTTCCATGATGCACAGGCTGGTATGCCTGGCCTCTATTCCTCCCTGCTGTCTCTTTCCCTCCCTCTGGCAGCATGAGCTCATTCCGCAGGCCCAGCTGTCTCTCCTCCTCCCCCTCCCACCTCCAGTTGGAAACCTTAATCCTCCCCAGCCTCTGAAAGTGACTTTGTGTCGCTTTGATGCGGGACAAACCTTTTACCGCCTTGTGGGTCTTAACAGGGATGTCTGATGGAGCTACAGCTTTGCTCAAAAACAAATTTACTTAAAGTATCAATGACTCTCCAGGGAGCGATCCGTTGACTGCCATGCTGCAAAGTCCTGCCGCCTCGTTGAGGGGAACTTTATACAGGGGCAGATGGATTTGTGGGACGTTTCCTAGGCTGGGCTGCTTCGGTCGCTCCATGAGAGGAGAAAGCGGGGGAAAGGTTCCTATCCTGCTTTTGCACAACTTGAGGTCGCGTGAATAGGGCTTGTCTCCCTTCCTCCCACTGAAGCAGCGAGACTGACTCACTTTGGGCGGCTGCCTTTCAGGGTGTTCCCACAGCTTAGGCACAGGGGTACTTGCTGGCAACTCGACATGCAGCGGAGGGTGTGAGAGTCCGTGTTCCTAGTGGCCCTTTCTGAAGCCTGGTTATTCGTTGGCTGATGTGCTGAAGGTAACGTGTGAAGAGCTCCTTCTGTATATATCCGAAAAGCTACAGATCTCGACGGCACACTGACCTGCACCTAAGCCACGCGTAGCTGCACCAGCATGTGACCCTTGAAGCTCGCTGAAGGATGAAAATCCCTCTCTGTTTTGGAGGGCACGAGGCAACTCTCAATGAGCCAAACTTTCAGAGACGTGTCCAGGTTTCCTCTAAAGCAGGGGCGGCACAAGACAGATGCATTGGAGACCCAGCCCCTCCCCTCATCGGGCCCCCAGAGTCTTCTTCGTGGCCCCCTCACCCCCGCCCCACATCCAGGCAAGAAGATCCGGCTCGATATTGCAGCTCGGGTGGAGCGCAGGCCGGGGCTCAGATTTCGACAAGTCAGAGGTTTTGCAGAGGCGGCAACTCCTGCTCAGGAAGCGAGGAGACAGCCGAGTCCTGATAATTAATTCAGGACAAAAGGGAGAGGAAGGTGCTGGCTGCGGCTGATTTGGGGCCTCATGAGAAGGCCAGATCTTGGGCCGTGGGCTGAACCCATCCATGTTTCAATGCCGCACCGTCTGGGAGCTCAAAGCCCGGAGGGAGGAGCACTGGACTAGGACTGGGAGCCCAGGACGGCCAGGATCAGAGAGGGCCCTGCCTCACGGGGAGACGGCCACGCAAGCTGGGCTACTGATGCTCGTCTCGTGCCCGCCGTGGCCCGTCAGCCAAGTCCCCAAAGGGCTGCAGGCGCTTTGGCAGGCAGATCAGGGAGGGAGGATTCTTTCCGGTGGCTGCAAGGACATTCCGGCTCGGAGGCAAGCGGCCTGTTTGGGGGCAAGAGGAGTGGGCTCCCTGAAGACCTGGCCGGCCACCGTGGGAAAAGAGGATTCCGGGCTCGGCAGAGCCTTTGGTCTCTCCCAGTGTGGCGATTCTCCTGCGCCGGGAGACCAGCTCCCCGGGTGCTTTCCCTGAAACTCAAGCTGCCGCGATTGCGTTCCTCGGGGCTTGTGCCTGGGTGAGCGACAGTGAGTTCAGCAAGCAGCAGCCTGTACCAGCTGGAGAGGGTCTGCTGGCCCATGCTCCCCAGCCCACTTTGACAGAGGAGGGAGTGCAGCAAGCTGCCCCCGTGCAAAGAGAGACATTCCCCTCTCCATCCTTAAATATGTGCGTCTGGGGAAGGCCGTCTGTGTTGGTGGTGTTGCTTTTTTGCAGGACGTGGTGGGTGGCGGCCACTCTGCGGCACAGGAAGGGGCAGGAAAACGGTTTGCTTTTAGCCCCGTTGCATGACAGCCAGGACGAAGGGGAAGCAGGATCACAAGTCCAGTGTGCCAGCGCTTCGGAGTGCACCCGCACAAGCAAGCAACTCGATCGGGTTTGAGCTGATTGGGCAGCAGGAATGCTAAAGGCATTCCCTGTCTGAGAGGCCACGTGGCTCCTTTCCACAGAAAATAAATACGGGGAAAAATAAAAGAAGACATGGGAGCGAATGCCATTGGTTCACGATGCGCTTTGCGCAGAAGTTCCCACCCGTGAGCTTCATGGGACGACCCATGTGGGGTTTTCAGATTCTGAGCGAGGGGGAACACTCCCTGCCTACCTTCTCCGCGTCACGCATAATTTTGCCATCGCTGTCCTGCCTCCCCTCCCCCGTTTCTTCCTACCCAAACAGTTCCAGGTGTGTAACTTCTGCACTTTGCACAGCGGGCTGTGCACTGGGCTGGAAGGTCGGTGCGAGGGCGAGAGCCGGCCTGGACGTGGAGGATGGGCGTCATCCAGGGACAGGCACGCAGCTTGGGGCGTCTGCTGCGAGCTGAGGAAGCGCGCTGCCATCTCCGAGGCTCCTGAGAGGAGGTAACCTCATTCCCGGCCCTGCGACCCGATCCAGCGCAGTCACTAGCGCGGAGCAGGACTGCCAAGGGCGACGCAAAGTCTGGGAGCAGAGCGCCCCCTTGCGGCGAACGGGAAGGCTGTCGGGGAGCCGCCGGCTTTCCTGCTGGCGCGCCCGGTTTCCCTTTCTTCCTCCCTCGTTATTAGTGACAGGCGACCTTGGGCCCAATGGATCCGTCATTCACCCAGAAAGCAGGGCGTTTTTCAGCGTGAGCTCAGGCAAGAGTTCTGCACAGAGGATGCATCTGAGGGTGGAGGGTCTGCAGGTGGAGCCAACAGAGCCAGAGGTACAGCTAATGGGGATGCTTCAAGTATGTTTTTCTTGGTGGGGGGGCAGGTGATAGGGTAGGCGGTCTGCAGAGAATCCTAGGTAACACTTCAAGGAGACAGCTCAAGTTTCTAGTCCTCATGGCACAAAGATATGCTTGAAAGGGTGAAGCTAACGCCTGCTGGAATGTGAGAAGGCATAGGAGTTGCAAAGGCTGAGCAAGGTTCCCACCGTTCCTAGTGCAGGATGTGGGGTGTCTGTGCCCTGCACGGCAACCCCACACAATATTATGCAAACATGGGGAGAATTATGCACACGTGCTGAAAGCACCCAGCCTTTTTTGTAGCAGCCTTTATCCAGAAGGCCATAGCTCAGTGCGACAAAGCACCTGCTTTTCATGTGGGTACCAGGTTCGATTGCCGACATCCCCACTTAGGATGGGAAGAATTCCTGCCTGCTGACAAAGCTGCTCTGGATGGCCCAGCAGTGTTACAAGGCAGCTTCAGGGCGTCCCCATGATTTCCTCTCTCGCAGCAACATTTTCTTAAAATGCTCTTTCGTCCTTGCATCTGCCTGGAGCAAAGTTCCCCTCAACCAATTTCCAGCAGATTCTCCAGGATCTGAAATAATTTCCTCCTTGCAAGGGAACAGAGGAGCAATTGCACCAGGACGGCAGAATTCTCTACTCACTTCCCTGGCAGAAAGGTATTCCGAGGTGAAGGCATCTCTGAGATGTTGGATGGCATCCTTCCGGGAGCGGGAAACACACCCGCCGTGGCGGAGAAGCGGATGCAGGAGAGGACACCTACAAAAGCCTTCCGGAAGGACCTCACCCGGAAGACGTACACCACGGGGTTGACGGCAGAGTTGGCATGGGACAGGATGACGGTGGTGAGGATGAGCTGGTTGGGGATGCAGCAGTGCGGGCACAGCAGCATGATGGTGTTCAGGACGTGGAGCGGGAGCCAGCAGAGGGCGAAGAAGAAGAGGATGATGAAGAGCGAGGTGGCCGACTGCAGCTCCTTGCGGACAATGATCCGGCGCCTCTCCCGGGCACTGCTGTTGACCTCCCCCTCCGCGACCTTACGGATCTGGCGCCGGACCTCCAAGAAGATGCGCCCGTACAGCACCATCATGGCCATCAGCGGGGCCAGCATGCAGGCCATGAAGTTGAAGTAGACCATGTACGTGTCCGTGATTATGCCGTTGAAGAGGCACTCCCCGCCAGCCGGCAGGGGGTCATGCCAGCCCATCAGGGGCAGAAGGCCAATCCCAACCGACAGCCCCCAGCAGGCCAGGATGAGCCACAGGGCGTTTCGGGGGCTCATCAGGCTTTTGTACTGGAAGGGCTTCAGGATGGAGATGTACCGTTCCACCGCGATGGCCAGCAGCCCGAACACCGAGGCCTGTGTGAACACCAGCAGCGTGCACAGCATCCAGAGGCACAGCTGCGGCCGGGAGCGTGGCAGCCCCAGGTCCGTCACCTGGGCGCAAGGGATGGCCACCGCCCCTACCAGGACGTCAGCCACGGCAAGCGAGACCAGGAAGTAGTTGGTGACCACGGCGCGCAGCTTCCTGCTCCTCAGGATGACCGTGCAAATGAAGAGGTTGCCCGCAATGGAGAGCAGAGCGATGAGGCTCTCGCCCAGGAAGTAGGGGATGTCCGGAACTGGCCAGGAGGTCGCGTTCGCTGGGAGGTCGCACCACGGCGTGGATGACGAATTGTCGGTGGCGGTCATTATGGGGCACTGGCCATGCGGACTGCTAGCAAGGACCTCCTCTTTGGGATCTCCAGCTTCTGCACCTTCAAGTCCTGGCAACATTGAAGAATCTGAGAAATGGGACAAGGAAGGGGGAAAAACCTCTGAGAATCAATCTTCAGTTTTGTTACTAAAAGGGCTGTCCTGGTTTTCCAGGAGCCGGCGTGTTTTGTCCTAAGCCAGAGGAAGATCAGAGTTACAACCAGCCTTTGCCTCGATGGAAACAGTGTTGGTTTCTCTGCCCCCAAAGGTATTGCTAAGTATAATGTGACACCTGCAACTGACTAATTCATTTGGACTGCAAATCTGCATTTTGACACGAGGTCCATGTAAAGGGCAGGCCTCATTACTGCAACATCTGGCTCGTGTTCAGCTTTTCCTTCTTCCCCAACCCCTGCATTTTATATCGCCTTGTCTGACTGGCGCATTTTGTGTGTGTCTTGCACAGGGGATGCCCAGCTGTGGATCTTGGAGGTTTACTTCCCGTATACCAGCATGGCTATCTTGTTAAAAGTATATGATGTTCCTAGATTTTGTCAACTTCTGCACTGCTCCTATACATTTCATGTTCAGCAAATGTTTCATGGATCATGTTTCACATTCCTTTGGATTTGCTAGTTGGCTTGTTAGGGGATGCTGGGAATTGTCGCCTAAGTTATCTGGAGGGCGACATGTTGTGGAGGGGTGGCTTCAGCGTTCCTCCAGAGTCTTAGCAAGAGAAGGGTCTTTCCTGTCACTTTTTTGCACATGAGATTGAACTGGGAACAATCTACGTAAAAGACCACTTGGCTTTACAACCGAATGACCTGGCTTTTCCTCAGGAGGATGAACCTGGTGAATGATGAGGAGATCTTCATTTTGTACAGAATGACCATGACCCCCCCACAACCCCGAGAGAGAGCGAGAGCGCTTCACGCACATGTTAGAACGCTGATGTTCTGCAACAGATTTTGACCTTTCTTCCCATGATACGTGTGTGTCCAGCTTAAATCTGATCTAACATTGTCAACATTTCTGTAGGCCAGCTATGGTGCAAGAACAAGATGCAATAGAAAAATACTGATTAGGGACAGCACAGAATATAGGGTATGGCCCGTGCACGGAAGGTAGAGAAATTCTGGGGATGGATGGATTTCCCCCACAGGCAGGAGCTTGGGCCTCTTTCTGCGTTAGTCACCCTACTCGTCCCTGCACCCCGTTTTGGTCACCACGGATCTTTTGTCCCCACTTAGCTAACCCCCTTCCATATTTATTATTCTGCAGTTTGCTGTTGCTCGTCCAAATCTATACTGGGGAAGCCTCAAAGATGCCAGGGTGGGGCACAGTGGTCTGGAGATTTAGCTCCCTGGAAGAGGGGAGTGACTGAGGTGGCAGAGGTTTCTTTTTGAGTTTGGAAATTTGCACCCTTGGCCAAGAAGCAGACATAGGGATGTTCTACAGAGGAGCAAGGAAACACTTATCTCTGACTCACCCAGCGGTCTTGCTATCTCTCCGAGCAAAAGCATGTCATCGGATGTCCCGCGGACCCCCAGAGCCACATTTTGTGCCGGCAGGGCTGCCTGATCCGTCTGTGGCTGGTTTTTTGCCGCTTCCGCCTTCTGCTGTTTATAAAATCAGATCTGATAAGCGGGAGCTGGCATACAAAAGCGCCTGGATTTTTCATGCAAAGGGATGGACAAAAGGTAGGACAACAGAGAGCGTGTTTGTCTGGCTGCAGCGGGAGAAGGTGGCAGCCGGGGTGGGAAGAGGCAAGAAATGCAGCGGCGACTGGCAGATGGTATTTCAGTGGTGCAGGGAAGTCTAATGAGGTTGTCAAGGGAGTGTGATGCAGCGGCGGCGGGAAATATGTGGCCTTCTTGTAAATTCTGGGGTTGGCTGCAGCGGAGAGCAGGTTCCCATGTCTGAGAGGATGCCACAAATTCCTAATTTTCTCATGTCTCATGGCGGCCCCCGTGCAAGTGGAGAAGAGTGGCCATCACGTTGCTCTGTCGGGGCTACTGTGCCTTAAATGATTCATGATACACAAAAAATGTTCCCAGCAGAAAGAATGAATAAGAAAGTAAAGGCAAGGCCTGCCCAATTTTGTGTGCGCTTCCTATATGGGCTTTAAGCTGAATTTCTTTTATCCCAGAGGGCTGGTTCTCAGTTTGGAGAAGCTCTCGGGAGATGCATTCCATTGAGAGCAGGCCTAGAGGCAAAGAGGTGGGCCCGAAATACGAAAAATATCACAGCGCTGTAGTTTAAAGCTCCAACTAAGCCTTAAGAAGGGCATTCCTGGAAATCACCCAGTAATTGGGGGTTGGGGTAAAGCGTGTGGTTGTCTTGGCGAGCCCTTGAGGGCCAGATGGAGACCCAAATCTGGGGTTCCTCGTCTCTGCACTGAAAGCGCAGGCACCCTTCCAGAAAAAAGGCTGGTGACCCTCACTCACGCCCCGCCAGAATTCTGACGACCACATGCATCCTCTACCCTGTCAGCAGGCAGGGTCCTTTAATGTCAATATTCTGAAAATAAAAAACAACTTTTCATGGCAGACCAGTCAATTAATCTCTTTATCTAGAGATGTATTGCCTGGTGGGGTGGGAGCGGCAGCTTTTACCAAATGGATGGCTCATTAAACCTGTTAAGGTGCTGAATGTGGTGAAGGCAGGCAGAGATACAGGCTGGATAAACAAATGCACATTCCCGGCAGAGAAATCGGGCTACAACCCACGAGGCACGAGCTGGGCTAAAAAGGCACAAGACACAGCCGTTTTTTGAGGTCTGCAGAAGAGCACCATGAAGCTGTATTTGCTTTCCGTGTGAAAAAGCTTGAACCTGGATTTTTGTTTGTTATGCTGCTCTGTTCTGTGGGCACTGCTATTGCCTTGGAGAGCTAAATAAATATTGATTAAATAAACTTTGTCCATAACGTGGGTAAAAAGATGGCAGGTTTTCAAAAGAAATTGACGTGTAAGGGGAAGACACCGTTTGGCTTCATTTTGCAAGCATATTATTTGATATACTTTTCTCTCTTTCAGTACAAAAATATTTAAATAGCAGATATTTGTCCTTTTTGCATTCAGGGAGACTTTCCAGGATTATTTTCCTGTGCATGCCAATTTGCGTTTTCGATATTAAGCTATGCTGTTGTAATATTTCACTGGTTTGATCTTACTGTTTGGTGTTACTGTTTTGCTGCAATTATCTGGAAGCTATTTTGTGATATTCCTGCCTTTCAGGATGGGGGAACTGCACAGAACCAGGAACTGGAGCAAAGGGGGCAGGGCCTTCTGGGCCACCCCACTGGGGCTAGTGGTGACCCCTGGACATCATCCCCAGCTCTGCTTTCCCCCCTCCTGCTGCGATCCCTCAAGGATCTGTTCTTGGCCCACTGCCCGGGGGACCTCATATCCCACAGCTTTCTGTACCACCAGTACACAGCAAACGCCCAGCTCCAGCTTTCTTCCCCTGACTTTTCCCCTCAGTCCAGCCTCACATCTTTGCTGCCTTTTTGATATTTCTGGGGATTGCTGTACTGTTGCGTCAAGCTCACGGGTCCAAAACAGGGGTTTGTCTTTCCTCGTAAGTCCTTTTCTCCTGGAAGTCTTTTCTTATCCATCGGCAGGGATAAGAAATGCAATTCCCCAGTTCCATGAAATGCAAAAGAGAGCAGGAGCTGCAAAGTCAAAAAGGCACCCTTCCTCCTCACAGCTTTTGGCAGTTTGGGGGCTGCTGCAGTCCAAAAGTCATCAAACCTTAGTGCCAAGCTGGGCTTTCTGGAAATGTGTTGTACAAAACGCTGGGCAGGCGGCCTTGGCCAGATCTTCAGTTCTCCTACTTTCTTATGAAGCAGCCCCCCAGCCAATGCTCCCAATCTGTACTGTGGGAAATGGGAAAAGGAAGCAAGGCCGCTCTATCTGCCCTACTGGAAGATGATTTCCCTCCCTCCTCCTGCCCCGCTCCCTTTGCCTTGCACCATGCATCTTTTTTCACATGTTAAGCCTGAGGGTCAGCTTTGGCTTCTTGCAAGCCGCTCTGGGAGTTTCTCGCGGAGCAGCAGAACACAAATACTTAAAATGCAATAAATAAGCAATATATGAATGCTTTGATTCATTGACGTAGGCTCCTTTAGCTGCAATCTCTGCCACTCTTGAAATAAATAACAAAACAGATCCGTATTTGTTTAGGTTGCCAGCTGCTGCTTTTTTTTTCCTACTGCCCCTCCTTCTGAGCCTTTTAACAGCTGTTGAAAACCCAGAGCTCTTAGTTTGGTCGGGAGGTGAAGCTTTCCTTGCCATGGAGAAAGACAAAAACCCTTAATCTGCTCAGATACGAAGTGCCTTTCCTAAATTCACAGGAAGGAGCGCCGTGGCGTTTCCATACGCAGCCGCCACCCTGTCCTGCCCCCTGCCTTGAGCGCCCGCTTACGAAGAAGGGCAAGAGAAAAGACCCCTTCCGGCTTCAACGGCAGCATTTAAGCAGGCGCGCGTGGACCGCGCATGCCCACTATCGCGCACGCAAGGAGGCGGGGGAAGCTCTTGGCGCGCGGGCGGCCTTTCTTCTGCCCCACCTCCTCCCGCCGGGGCGACCAACCAGGAAGCCCGGCAGAGGCCACGCCCCCGGCCGCGCGCCCGGGTTTGGCGGGCCCAGGCCGAGGCAGCAGGGCTCGCGCGCGGGTGCGCGCCCCCCTCCCCCACGCCGCCTGCCCTTGCCAGCAGTAAGCCAGAGCCGCCCTGAGGGGCCCGGCCGCGCTCGCCGCCGCAGCCCCGGGCGCCCGCGGAGGGCCTCGGGCTCCCCCGCCTTGCTCAGATCCTTCTTCGTGGCCCATAGAACCGCTTCCAATGCCCTCATTACATCTCAAGAAGTGCCCCTCAAGCGCAGAACAAACACACCCCACAGCCCTGAGAATGCCATCGAAACTGCGGATGGCCCTCACTGTCTGAAGAGCCGCTCGCTCATTCTGATACAAAATAGTTCTATTTTTACTTACCCGTTTCGTGACTCACCATCCCGGCACCTCAATGTCCTTTCTTCAAAATTGGAGAATGGGCGCGTACAAAGCTCAGGATAAAGGCTGTGCATGGATGAATGATGTCTAGGCCACTTCAGTCCGCAAAAAGAGGAGTTCTCCAAAGTAACTGAATGTGTAGGAATGCTTTCCCCCTCACCTGCAGCTCCAGGCCTGGCACTTTGCAGCTGAAGAGCTCCGGATCCTTCCCTGTTGGCAGCAAATTTAACGAGGATCTCTCCATCCCAACTCTGCACCCACCCGTAATTTAAAAAAAAAAAAGTTTCTCACTACCCTTTAGGGAGCCTCCAAACATGACCAAGAAAGGCCTGGACCCATTGCTGCCCCTCAGCCATGCCAAGGAGAAGCCCCAACTCCACAGAATTTTTGAGAAACAACCTGCCCCAAGTTGCACATCAGTTAAGATCTCCATCACTACATAACCCACTCCAATCCCAAGGAGAAGCCCACCAACTCCTTCAAAATATGTTCTTCCCTACTGTTCCTCCTGTCCTCTGTCACATCAGAGGCCACTTCCAGGACATTTCTCCCTGCTCCACAGACCTTCCTTGCATAGGATTTTACTTCCAAATTAGAAGCCCCATATACACCCCGAGAAAAGCTATTGCTGCACCTGAATAGCCCCACATCGCCCCACTTCAGAGGGAATAGTTTTCTCCTCATGTTGTTTCCACATACCTCTGGGAAGAACCCTATTTCTTTCTCCTTCTTTTTAAAGGCAGCTCCCATAGGCCAAAATCCCAAGTAGTTTTCTCTTCCTCCAACTTTCAGGTTTTAATGCCCATGATCATGTCCCTGGGGAGATAGACAGAGGCCAGCTTTCCAATGGACTCTTCATCTCCACGAGAGGGCACTTATGACCACCCCGCCCCCCAGTTCAAATCCAATCATCAATGTCTTCCCTCATTAGTTCCTGGAGAAGACCCCCCTCCCATTTTCCCATGTGCCTCAACATGAAAATTCTTCAGCCCTGGCCACCATTTTGAATCCTTTTCTGGCTGTTCTCAATGCATGTGCTCCAAGCCCCCATTCATGGAAGTGGCACTCTCTTCCGCGTTTGCTTCCCCACCATATACTACAATACACTGTTCCTTCCTTGGATTCCAAATTGGAAGCAAGGCAAAGCTGTTTTGTTTTCTGCTGTGCTGAGAGTCGGGGCGATCTTCTCATTAGCTCCTGGAAAGGAATATTTTGGGTGAAACCTGCACACCTTGTGATGTGCCGGGCCAAATGCAGCTCATGCCACGCATGTGTTGTAGCCTGGGACTGCCTTAACAGCTGCCCTGTTATTGCAGTCACAGGTAAACAGCAAAATGCGCCTCACAGGTCATGTAGAGCTGTTTTATGTTCAGCAACTACTTTGGTTTTCCCCAGAAAAACAGGGAGGCAGCAGGCTGTTGGACACGTATACTACCTTATAGAGCAAATTGAATTTGTTCCAGGTTTCTGCCCCTGGAAAGCCTTCTAATTCCATTTCTTCATTGCTTATACTGCCTTGCTTTGTCACCTGTAGGTTAATTTTTCCAACAACATCTTCACTTCTTTTTTATTCCTTTGAAGCCAGGAATGAAAATAATTTCTCTTTCCCCTCCCTACTCTCCGTTATAGATGTGGGACCAAATTGGCCGTGTTTGCCCTGAGGAATTACAGCTGAACAGCAAAAAAATCAAACAGAATTCTGATCGGTGAGAGGGCAAAAACAAACAACTTGAAAACTATAATTCTTTAAACCAGAAGGACAATACAGAATGGCAGAATGAAGGTGTTACTGGGTCTGTATTTAGGCTGCAGCCCCATATGCACTTATCTGGAAATAAGTCCCAGTGAGCTAGTGGAACTTACTTCTGGGTATGCCTAGAATTGTACTGTAAAACATACACGACTGTAGTGTTGACCCAGGCTTCTGTATGCAAAGCTACCTTTCAGTAAATGAACTAGAGAAATCAGTACAAGACAATGAAAGTACTTTCAGGGCTGTCTTTGAAACCTAGATTAAGCCAACCAAAAGCTCACCCAAAGTTCAGAAACTTGCTTTAAAATGAGCAACAACAGACAAAACTGTGTATTTCACAGGATGCTGAGTCTTCTCCTTGGGCCTCAAAATCCATGAGGCCCTGCTTATTATCATCAAGTTTCTTCTAAAGAATAAAAGTTAACCAGCATCTATAATTTATTATTTTTAATGCTTTTTAGCAACTGACTTTGGTAGGAAATATCTAACAGTTCTCTTTTCCCCTCCCTTCTCTCTTTTTCCCAACAGAAGAAAACACAGTAACTATACCAGCACTCTTAAAGAACTGGCTCAGATGTTGCCCATCCCTTTGCGGACAAGCTGCAAAAGGTTAACAAAGGTATTCTACCACAGATTTTACTGTGGGTATTCCAGAAGCCTTCTGATGATGTCTGATTCATTCAGCTGGCTAAACATTGGCCTTGGATGTGTGGCAGGTTTAAAATTTGTAACACCCGGCCCTGTGGTTTTGCTGTTCTGAAACTTTGCCTGAGTAAGAATTGCAAATGCTCCTCTTCCGAATCCTTTTGCTTTTCCTTCTCTGATTTGGACAGAAAGAAATGCTTCTCCGAGTCCTCCGTTACATCGAACACCTGCAGGCAAGCATTGATACAGCAAGATCTCTGCTCCAGGTCCACTCTGGGGAGCAAAAAGGTAATGCAGTGCCAAATGGAGCCAAAAAATACAGTGTGATTGAAGAGGAAGTGTATGAGTGTCACGGAGTAAAAATCAATAAAGGTATGCAGCTATTGAAGGGTTAAATAATCTGGAACAGAGATCTGCCCAGGTAGGCTGGGAAAGTAATAGGAGAACAATTGCCCAAGGGAAGCAAAAGAGTGAAACAGGACAACCTGTCACAGCACACTTGTAAGAAGCTGCTCCTCTGGTTGTCCCTGGCATGTAAAAATGCAGACACTAGGCAAACAAGCAAACAAAAAAGTCTTTTAAAAAGTTGCTGCACTTCCTCTTTTGTCGTACAACTCACTGACACAGATATACAAAAACCAAAGCTGTCTGTGTTGGCAAAAATCCATAAACCGTATTGGTGTAATACTTTGATTAAGCCAATGGAAAGATCACCAGAAAATTAAATTAAATTAAATTAAATTAAATTAAAAGCCAGATTCTCAGTTGTCCAGATCTCTTCATCAGGCAAAAGTGCGGGGGAGAGGGAGAAAAAAAGAGTTGGCTTGATGCTGAAGTCATAGAGTCTGCATGATTAAAGTCTTGGAGTGCAATGAAAGGGGAAGGGTCAGCAGAGATTTAAACAAGGTGCTAGAACAGGGGAAGAAAACCTCTGGCCCATGGAGATTGCTCATTTGGCCTGTAGAATCTTGCAGGATTGACCTCCAAGCAGTGCCCTCTGGGGGAATTCTCATTATCTTTTAATTGTTAGTGGAGATCAAAGCAGGGGTGCAGGGCAGCTTCTCCAGGCCACAGAGGAAGCTGCCCAACTAAGCCAGCAGCTGGAGGAGCACTCCTTCAGCCCCCAGCATCTCTGCCAGCCCCTTACCCTCTCTCTGCTGGGAGAAGGCGTGGGATGCGCAAAGCTGCTTTGCTGCATGCAGGCCTTCTCTAATGGAGAACCCAGTTCCCACCAGAGGCGTCAGAACGGTGATCTTCCTGGCACATCCACTGGGAGCCAGATGCCATCAGAGGGTACGGTCTTCCCTAAGATGGGTGAAGAGGGAGCCATTTGTGTCTCTCCATCCAAACCCTCTTTTGCCGGCCTTTCCTGGCCTGGCAGGGAATGTGAGGGTTTCCCCTCGAGTAGCCAGAGCTGCCCCTAGGGCTGCTGGAGGAAGGAAAGGAAAAATTTTGAGGCTTCATTTTTGAAAATATAAAATGTAGCTGTTTGCTCAGAAATTTCTCCACCTTGGGTGAAGTACACAGGTTTCTTTGGCAGTAGAAATAAGGAGAAAACAGGCAGGTTTAATGTTAGCAAAACTAGAGATTATTTTCAATGGTGTCATAGGTAAAAGGACAATAGAGGCCAAGTTTGAGTATCTTTCTTGGTAGCTGGAAGGGATGAACCCTTGGAAATAATGCTCCAGCTTCAGTTAGTATAAAATGCTCTTCCGTCAACGTAGGGCTAACCATTGAACAATTAAATTTGGTATTTATAGATAAGGATATGTATGAATTGGTTGGCTAGTAACATTTTTGTGCACTAGTAATTTTTGGCACTCATTTGCAAATTTACTAACAAATAGCATGGTAGGCATTCTGTGTCCCCAAAATTAAATTCTGCAGGTCTGCCCTTCTTTGTAAAAGCAGGAGAATCTGAGCAGATGGTGACAACTGCCCTAAAGAGCGGGCGAAGAGAAACTACACCACGAGTAAAGAAAACGAAGCCACTGGCTGTCTGCAAGAAACCCAGGAAGAGGAGACGCACCCATAAATCAGGTCAGGGAAGGATTCTGCAATTGATTCTTTGACGCGTTTTGGTCTGTGGCTCTCTTTCCTCATGCCTTTGTGCACTCTAGCTTCACTCTGGGTGGCTTCAGTTTGTCCAAAGTTCACTCCATCCGCAGGATCTGCCGACATGATAGCAAGGGCCCAAGTAGGGTAAGAACAGGCTCTGGACTGGGCAGAACCCTCCTTTTCATGCAGGAATGCGTTGGAAAACGCTTACCTGCAGTGTTCCCCTGAGGAAGCAAGCAGAACTCCTCACTGATACAACTTCAAGAATTTGGTGTGGTGGGGGGCGGGTGCACTTGAGCCAAAGATTGGGATGCATACAGCCCCTGAATTTTGCTGATGTTTTTGTATCTTTTGGGGCAAAAGGCCTTGACTTTAAAGCTGTTCGTTAAACAAGGTAGTGGGCATGACAACTGAGGCTTGTCTCACTTATTTTTGCAGAGCAACAAGGGGTGAACAAGAAAGTGTGCAAGAGCCTTGCTCTGGAGACCGGAAAGAGCCCTTCCCAAGCCGACGAACAACAGGAGGAGAACCCATCTGCATTGGGAGGTGTGTCATCTCGCCTTCCATCCTCCCACAAACAATCACCTTTCTTTCCCAGCTTCCAAGTTCCAGTGCCAGAATCCTACCGGCCTACAAGTTCTAGCATTCTGGACGCTACCAAAGGTAGAATCTCATTCCACACGGCAAGTGTGGTTACATCACTGCTTTGTGGGTGCCTTGTGCAAACAGGAGAGGGCAAATTGTGGCCCTCAAGATGGCTTGGCCTTGAGTTCACATCAGCATAAAACTCTTTGTTAGAACGGAAGTGTAACTAGTGGATTGCACAGAAGGAGAAAAATGGGTGATAAATGCAAGTGTTTGGAGCGATTTGAAATAGATTTCCTCATCGGGCATACCACACTTTGACAGCTCGCAGGCTGGTCTCTGCTAAACACACTATTTGTAATTGGTCTGCATAAACCCCCGGCACCCTGCATTTTTTATATTTTTATTCCCAAGAATTAGACTGGGAATTAGTCTAGAATTAGTGTAGCATGTGTTGAATTTTCCCCTCAGCCCCTTACAAATCAACAGAATTTAAAAGTGCTGAACTTAATTGCACTATGGCTGACTTAAAGAAGAACATTAATCATTAGCCTGTGAAGAGAAAGAGAGCAAGAACTTGCACTTCATATAAACCATTCAGTATGTACTTCTAAAGGATATTCAACTTTGGGCTTTTTAGGACTTTTAAAAGCAGCTTATAACACTGGGAAGGGCCCCCTCTGCGTGCTGTTCCTGTTTGTACTTGGCTGTAGTAAATGTTTTCTGTAGCTTACAGAGCATGAACTAAATAAGTTCCAAAAAGCTTAACAATTTTTTCCTACTCCTTGAACTGTTGGCAGTTTGGAACTTGAGTGGCAACCATGAAGAAAGCAAGGATTATGCCAATGTGTTTTCTGCGTGTGAAGCTTATGAAGAGCCGCATCGATACACCGAAGTGCCTACGCATTCATTGATGGGGTAGGAGCAGAGAGCAGAAACGCCTTATCATAAATCAGGTTCTGATGAGGCTCCGTGTCCAAACTGGGGCTCCTTTGTGCTGCCCTCTTCAAAATGCCCAGCCGTGCCCCCTGACGAATGCACTTGGTGACGGTCCCACTTGTGCTTTCAGGCAGGAGCTGGTGTACTACTATTCCTCTTGTGAGGAAGATGAGGAGGAAGGACCTGAAGCCAGCCCTTGGCTCTCAACCTGGTCCCCTGTGGGCATTTCACATGGTGAGTTGCTTGGAACCTGTGACCCAGGGAAAGGCCTCGCTGGAGGGCTGGTCCTTCGATGCAGGGAGGCTGAAGGGCCAGGATGAGTGCAGTTCAAGCTAGGAGATGCAGTGCAATCCTAAGTTTGCTCCTCAGAATTAAATCCCACTAAGTTCGAGGGGATTTGTTCTTACGTGCTGTCAAGTCGTCTCAGAGTTACAGCAAATATGGAAGAAAGCCCTCCACTTTGCCCTGTCCGCGGCAGCCCTGCTCAGCTCCTGTAAATTCCAGGCGGTAGCAATCATTAAGTGTAAGACTGCTGCCTGCGAGGCAGGTAGCACATGCTATTCAGTGGGGTTGCTCTCTGCTACTATTTAACAGCCTTCCAAAAATGGGATGCAACAAACTCCTGTAAATTGCGTTCTTTTCTCTGTAGAGAGCCTGCAGCTCTGTTCGCCTGCGATCATCACCCAAAGCAACCGTTGCACAGATCTGGGGTTGAGCCCTTCGCTTTTTTCCTCTCCAGCTCGGTTGCTGCCTACACACATCCTGCAAGGTGGCCAGGAGGAGTTTTCCCCAGGTAGTGAAGCAGTACGGAGGCTCTGTCCTGCTATGGTTCCAGGTCTTGTGTGTGTCTCATTTCCCAACCTCGGTGAGGGAGGGGGAATAAGAGCATCACCTTCCCTTCATATGATCCAATTTAGAGATAATCTTCTTTCAAATACAAGGTAGTTCCCAGGCGTAATTTCCATAGCAGGAAATGCTGATGAATATTTCATGTGTGTGGGTAACAACAGATTGAATTTGCTGTTTGCGTATTTATTTAAAGTGCTTATAGATCATGGTAAGTGCAGGAAAATCTTCTTTCAAAGTGCTTTCTTAAGATTAAGAAGTGCCTTTTTGTGTCCCTGCAGTGCTGTTCGAAGATGTATGCCTGTCCCCACAGCCTGGTAGTTTTTCTCAGTCCCTCTCAGGCACCCTGTTAAGAAAGGTAAGCGCTTCATATATTCTTTATGTATCCCCTCCGTTTACCATTCTTCCTGTTTAAGCCTATTTTACCGCCAGCCAGTGCTGCAGGCCGCGGTGCCTGTGCTAACGTGCCCACTCCTTTGTTCTGCCCACATGAACTGCTTCTCTCCCACGCATCCCGTGCGGATGACTTGGACACGTGAACGAATCACCACAGTGAAGAATTTCATATTCCCAAGTAGTGCTTCGGTGGAGGCCCTCTTTGCACACTTGCTTTGTGTACTGACATGATTATGCACTGAGCACTCACAGTGAAGGGTCAGGTGGCGTGTGTGCTTGTGAATTCGCCGCAATAGCATGCTGCAGAGGCAGTGGTGGAGCAGCTGCGTTGCATGCCGAAGATACCAGGAATTCCCTGCCATCCCCAGCTAGAGAAGTATCAGGTAGCTGGTGATGGGAAGACTTTTGCTGAGACCCTGGAGAGGTTCTGCCAGCCAGAGTAGACAGCACTGAGTCAGATAGAAAAATCTCCTCCCGGCTCTCTCAGCCCCTGTCATAGCTTTCCTGGGCACGGGCAGGAGATTAGCAGCCTTACTCTGCATGACTTGCTGTCTCCATTTTCTACAGAGGCCTGCTTAGGATAGGCTATATCCATGATAAGGTAAATGTCAATTTCATTTCTGCCCTAATGCCTCCGTTTCTCCAACATTCCAGTAAAGCAACACTTAGACATCAAATAGAGTCCTTGAAGCTGTTCCAGTAACTTTGAACCACAGAAGCAGTTAGGCTCGTTTAAATTAAGAGTTAATGAGGTCTCACCTTGTAATGCTGATTGTGAATGCTAAAGGTCCCTCAGTTTTGAAGCAAACCTTCTTCCAAATAAGAATACTTCTTTTCCCCCTCCACCCATGTACCACCACCTCTGCTTCACTTCTGCTTGCAATGGCTCCTGCCCCTGATTCCATCTTTCTTTTCTTGCAGTCAGCATTCACGCTGGATCACTGCTACCTTTCCAACAGCGAAACAGGTAAAAGCAGTTCCAGTCCTGTGTCAAGAGAAAATGAGATCAAGTCATCATGGAACAAGCAGTTCCTTCAAGAGGTGGGAAGGAGATTACATAGATCTTATTTTGTGTGGCTGAAGAATTAGGGCCCGGAACTAGGACCGTCTGATTCGTGGGTGTCAACTTAGCTCGGTTGCTTGCCATTGGCTCTGCTATCTGGTGCTAACGGGAGCCAGCGTGACCAATGGTGCGCTACCCCGATCTCGTTCCCCCATGAGGGCCTACCGCGTTAGGTAACCGAAGGAATTTGCCACCACAAGACACAGTGATGGCCAACTATGGAGGCAGTTCCAAAGATGGATCGGATACATTCTTGGAAGATAAGGCTCTCAGTGGCAGTGGGTCATGAGAGCTGGACAGTTCTGGAATTTAGGAGCAGAGTGCTTCTGACCACCAGTGGTTGGGGAGTGGCATCATGGGAGAGCCTTTGCCCTCATGTCCTGCCTGTGGGCTTTCCAGAAGCATCAGGTTGGCCGGCGTGGGAAGCAGGATGCTGGACTAGGTGGGCCTTTGGTATGTACTATACCTGTTTAACTTCTATACAACTCTATAATTCATATTTTTGCATTAAACTTGGACTATTTAAAAATCGCATTAAGCGTGTTAAAAATTATTTATTGCTAAATCAGGTGACAGCCCAGTTCTCGGAGCTTTCTTTTATGCCAAAAATTCAAGAATTATAAGCCTCTGAACGTGGTTTTGCTATATCCGATGACACAATTTCACATGCCTCTTTTCTCCCTGAGCAACTGATCTTACTGCCACCTTGCCCTGTCAGGAAGTTCACACTGCCAGGCCCGAATGCCCTCTGTCCTCCAGTGATGAGAACAGTGACAGCACTTGGACCCCATGCAAGAGGACGAAGCCATCCAGGGCGGCCCGTCGGAAGAAGAAGAAGAAGAAGAAGAGGAAGAAGAAGAAGCGAGCAGGCAGAAGGCAGAGGTGCCGGCCAGTAGCCCGCGAGAAGGGCAGCAACGCCTCCCCTTTGCAGCTGAAGAAGAAGTGTGTGAATGGCTTTATCATGTTTTGCCGCCTGAACCGCAAGCACTTCATCCGGTGAGATTCAGGGATCAAACTCTTCCGTACGAAGTGACAAAAATCTACCTAACAGATAGATTCCCTTCAACACACATTTCTTCACTCTGCAGACAAACCTTGATTTATTTCTAAATTTTAGTATGTGCGCAGATGAGTGTTCAAAGCTCTTACGTGCTCTCAATAACCCTTAAAACATTCCTGGAAAGGTCTTGTCCTTATCCACACACACCCTCCCTGACAGTGCTGAGAGGAAGATGGAAGTGATAGTCACTTGTTTAAGGTGCAAAATAACTATAAATTGCATTCTTAACGAGCTTACAGCTAGCCTGGAATTTGAAGTAGGGATGGGTGAATTCACAGTTCATTCTCTTAATTGCAATGCTGTCAGTGCTATGGCACTAAAGAATGAGCCGGGGCAGTTTGCAAAGATTATTAAAATAACCAGAATCACTCTGCAAAGTCCTGGGTCTGGTACATGGGCTGCAACACCAGAAACTGCAATATAACTGGAGCTAAGCAGGTTTAGACTTGATCAGCAGTCTGGACTGAGTCCCTCCACATTTAAGAGCAAATGTATATATAATAAATACTGATTTTAAAAATACAATCCTCTAATGTCAAATAGAGCAAACAGTAGCTGTTTCATGGCTCTAAGCCTCACTTTCGATTATTCCTTCGGTACCTTTTAATACTCCAGTAGCCCCATCCCTTTTCTTCACACAGTGGCTCACCAACCCACATAGAAAAATAAAATTCTAAAGCCTACAGATCAGCTTAACTGGTTCCAAAATTATTTCCCTGCCACTGTCAATTGGACTAACAGATTAGCACTACTTGGAGCTGAAGAAAACTCTACTGCAAGCATCCAGGAGGAAGGGCAGTGGATATCTTAGAAGTTACCATCCCACAGTGCCAGTGCTGTTGGTTCATAATACAATTTGGGAACTTTTTCAAACACAGTTTTGCTTGTATCTTTGACTTTTTAAAATTATTTTGCCTGCCCTGTTCAGAAAGCTCATGTGGGCAGGAACAAGTGCAAACTCCCCCGCAGCTGCCTCTTTCTTCCCCATCAATACAGATCAAGAATTAAATAGAATGGAAATTTCTCCTCTCTTTTGCCAGTTTAAATCTGAGGTCCACAAGCCAGTCCAAATAGGAAGATCTTACAATGCTTCCAAAACGTTCTTTGTTGAGTGTGTAATGGGGGGGGGGGGGTTGGAGTGGGGCACCCACTGTGAACACTTTTCTTTACCTCAGTCATCTTTTCTATTTGTTAACTGTACCATTCTTTATTGTAATTTCAGAAGATTTTCCTCAGCCCCCAGTCATATAATCTTTCAAAGCCCCAGTCCAGGGCCATGTGCTTGTAGATTACAGGCTGTGCTCGTGTGTTTCTGAGCAATCCTGCAGGTTGACATATGTATATAAATTTCCCTTTCTAAGAAAGTTGAGCTTTGAATGATTTTATCAAAACGCCTTCGGCCAACGAGCTGAAAAACAGCATCATGGCCCGGAAACCTCAATAATGCCAGGAAATAGACACTCCAGTGCTTCCCCACTGTAAAAATTCCTGGTTCCTATAAGACTGGTTATCCTTGTGTCCCTGGACTGGGAAGGTAGTGTACTGAAGAGGTTAGGTTTCATTCAGTTTGATGTTTGCCAGACGCTTTTTCCCTACTTTGGTCCCTATGGAGAGCCAAAGGCTGGCCCGACAGGGTTACCATGGCAACTTGTTCTCTGGAAACCTTGAGGGGACACGGGGACATTGGCAGTGCCTCTTGTGCATGCTTCTCATGAGTCTGAATGACCAAATTAGATTTTCTCTTGGCAGCGCTTGTCCAGGCATGGCCTCCACAGCTGCCACAAGAGAGCTGGCCCAGCTGTGGCGTGTGATGACGAAGCAGGAGCGCCACCCATATTGGTATGTCTGACATTGGTCAAAACAGCCGTGTGCTTTAGATGATCCCTGGGCCAGTTTCTAGGGTGGTCCAGTGGCAAACAAAATACCTAGATCGTTGCTGGAATACCTGCTTGGCAAATAGAAGGTCATCGCAACCCCCAGCCACTCTAGCCAGACGAGGCAACGCTGCCTTCAGTGGTCAAATAGCCCAAGCAGATATAAGGAAGTCTCCCCTCTGGCCCCACAGGAAGGTGTGCTTGGACGTCTGCTGGGGGCCAGCACCCCCAGATACAAGCACCATGGCGTGGCGCCTCCTGTCCATCACGCCAGTGTGCTTGTTCGCCCGCCTCTGGGTTTGGCCCAGGCACACAGTGGTGAAGGAAGCAGCAGATGCCACTACCTTGCTTGTGCACAGGCTGTCTGCCTGGCAAGCAGGCAAGTGTAAGTTTTCTGAGGAAGAGGATGAGCAGCCACAGCAGCAGCAGCCAGGGGCAGTGGCAGTGGGCTCCTTGTGGGAAGGAGCGCATCGAGCATTTCTTGCCCAAGCGCCTCGCAAGCGGGGAGTTTTGTACATGCCTAAAGGTACCTCGGTATATTCTCAGGGGACTGGTCGTCTTTTTTCAGGGAGCTAGATTTCAAATGCATCTCTAGCTCCCCGTGAAGCTAGCTGCAAAAGGGAAGAGCTTCCACTGCCTCCAGACCTGACGGGTGCCCCTGTTGTGGTACATTTGTGTAAAAATTGCATGCCACTTGATAAATGCTTAATTACCAGTTGTAGCACTTCTGTGTCATTACCTGCATATCAGAGTAAGGTGCAAATACTGTTCTTCTACTTATCTTGTCTCTCTCTGCAATCAAGTAACTACTAACTGACAATGGAAGTCAAGCTAGGATTGTTTATCACTTCGTAGCAAGTTGCTAGTTAGCTCACTTGGCCTGCTAATCCACATGGTCTTGCTTTATTTATTTATTTATTTATTTATTTATTTATTTTTCGGTTTATATCCTGCCTTTTTCCTACAAAGGGCTTAAGGCAGCTTACATCCTCCTCCTCCTCCATCTCATCCCCACAACAACAACCCTGTGAGGTGGGTTGGGCTGAGAGTCTGTGACTGGCCCAAAGTCACCCAGTTGGCTCCATGGCTTCATTTCATTTATCACTTCATTTATCACTTCATAATGGCAACTCTCACTTGGTAGCTTGGCTGAGTGTGGTATCTATTGCAGTCTGGCTCTTACAGATAGCTGACAACAGGAAATAACCTATAAAGGCATCAGCATTGCATATATGCTCTTCTTTTTTGTCTTTCAGCTTGAAAGCACGGAGATTCAGCCGTCTGAACAATCGCATTGTGAGAGATGACTTCTCTAGCGGGGAAGAGGAACCAGAGCCACCCAAACCTTTCCATCTGCTACTCGCTGAGAAATCCCTCCCTGGCACTGAGAATTTTGGTGACTTCTCTTTACTATAGCTTATTCCCTGACTCTTCACCCCATAGCAGCAATGGCATATCCATCCCCTTGCTCTGGTCTGTTACTGATGGCTATAGTTTCCCCCATTTGATGGATCTGCAGAGTAGGGCATACCACATGCCAGGTATTTGACGGATCCCATTGGCTGGGGCACTATAGAGCAGCTGCATGGGGTGAGAAAGGGGAATGTGCGTCTTTTACCAGCACCCACAATGCATCACCCTTCCCCCATTTTTTGTTCCTTTCTGCTGTTTGCAAATATCCCCAGTGTATCATCCATTACTGTGCCCTTGGCCTCCAGAAGCGGGTTCCTGGGCAGAGTACATGGATGTGTTCCTTTGCTACTTCTGGTTTTTCCAGGAACCACCATCTGTACTATGTTCTCAGCCCTTGTCTGGTAGTCTCGGGCGTCGTGATAGACACTGTAGCATCACTGGCAAGGAGAAGGAAAGTCCATGGGTCTGGATGATGAGGACCATGCTGAGCTTGGGCCTTGATCTTTGACCTAGGAATGCTACTCCGTTTGAGATGAGTGGGTCTGATTTTGAAAAAAGGGAAGGATCTGTGTGACTTAAAAGGAAAAAAAACCAAACAATTCCCTTTGGTTTTAACCATGAGTTTCCCCAAATGAAATCTAGTGGTCTAGAAAACTGGGTGTCTTAAAAAAAATCCTAGTCAGTATTTATTGCCAAAGCTTTTAGCTTCTCTTTTCATTCATCAGAGCTTAACACGGGGAGTAGGTTTCTCAATATACCCTGTCAGTTTATGGGACATTTGCTTTAGCATAAAATGCATTTATCTGGTCTAATCACACCAGATGTGATGCTTTGTTACCTAGTAAGTTGCTTCATGTATTTCTTTGCATTTACTTGGAGCAAAATAATGTGTTCAGATATTGCTCCAAGTGGCATGGTGACCTCACTGACTGTGTAGGCTATACATCAAAGGTCCCCAAGAAGTGAAATTCTTCAGATTAGGCCTGTGAGAATCAGGAGGTTCTTAATACTCACTTGATTCTGAGCTACAAAGGGCAAATGTTTCACCCTGAGAAGGGAGAATGCCAGGATTGCATTTGTGAAGGCCTAGACTAGTGTCTTCCTATACAACATTTTTGGTTGGTTTGCATCCTGATTAGGGAAGAGCTCCCCCAGTCATCCATCCTCTGCTCACCTCTTAAATTCTGTTCCCATCCTCTGCCATGTTCACAATCGGTTTGTGTTTCAAATTCTGTTACAAGCTTCAGTGAGTTTTCCCACAGTTGTTATTTATGTATTTATCTATTTATTGGCTAGGGTTTTTCTCTCCTCTATTTATATTTGAAATAAAAACTCATGTTAAATTTATTCTCTATTTTAGTGTCTCTCTATGTTCCAGGGCTGAGATCCTTTAAGATCTGAACCTTGTGGATTTTAAAGTGCATGGCAGCTCTGCTCCTAGCAAGGAATGGACAATTGTTAGAAAAGGCACACCAGAATGTGTCTTGATCCAGACTGGGAGTCAGTGCACCAATTGCCAGTGTAGTGAACGATGGAGCATCCTCCCATCTGTTTCAAAACAGTTCTGTTTAGGCTAGGACACCTTTGTGTCATGCAAGACGACACCGGTCATCTCAATGCTTCATTTATTAGAAAATTGGCAATACAGCAAAACTTGGCTTAGTGGGCTAGATAAGAGGAACTAGCAGAAGCAAGCAACCAACACAGGCCTTGATGCCCATCTGACAATCCTCAAGAAATGCATTCCAAAGATCCTGCAAATCTAGTGGTTCTGTCTCGCTGACCTTACCTGCAAAATGAGCTGTCAGCTAAAATAGCTGTAGGTAAAATGTAGACTGGAGCAAGTTACCATTCCTCTGCCTTTTTTCCTGGTCCCACTCTAATATCCACAAGCCCTGGAAACACTTCATTAAAGTTCTTCTCAAAGTCATTAAGGTTCTTGGCACCTTTGCAAGACACCTAAATTGCTCTTGCTGTCTCCAGAGTATAGGTGTTTGCATGTGCTCAGCTGCCCAGGCTAAAGTCCTAATTAACCTCCTTAATTGGTTGCTTTCCAGTTTAAACAGAGCTTGATGCTGCATATGCCTGTACTCTGCTTTCCACTTCTGTTTCTGTACCTTTTTGTAACTATTTCTACTTCACTTTTGCTGAGTTCCATGGGGATAAAACACTGGGTTTGCTACCAAGTGCATTACATGGCTCAGTCTCATGATAAGCCCTTGTGCAGGGCCCAAGCAGATTAAGAGTTTTGGCAGGGTGTGCAAGAAATCCCACATTCTGCCTGCCCTTCTGGCAGTGGCTGGTTTTGATGGGCAGGAAATGGGTGTTTTCCATAAGCACAAAGGGTTTTGTATTTGTAAAATGCAAAATAAAGATCTGGTGGGATTGTAGCGCAAACTCTAAGTCGCAAACCTGAATATTGGATTATGGGGGTATAAATAAGGCAGTATGACTGACTTGCTTCCCATCACCATAGGTCAGGAAGAGATGTTTGTGGTAGTGGCAGTGTCGGTTGGACAGGAGAGTATGTAGGAGTACGGAAGTGCTAGCAGGACAGGAGCGATCCAGCGGGGATGGGGCATGCATCCTGCTGTACCATTTCAGGATCCCATATCCACAAAGGTGGAAGTGAGGGGGCCCAGGAGGCTGTTGTGGAGTGGCTGGTGCTGCAGAAAATCCACCCTTTGGGCACTGTGAGTGGCATTTCCGTGTGGAGCAGAGAGTGCCAAGCCAGGGTAGAGCAGCGAAGGACAGGATGTGTGAGCTGGAGGGCTATCAATGGGCGAGCTCTCATCATCAGAGCTGGGAATGATGTGTCTCTCTCGTGGCAGGCCCCTGCCTTCCTTCAAAGTGCCACCCTCGCCGCTCTCCCTATGGGGAAGAAGAAAAGAAAAACAAGCCGTGCCTCTAGGTGCTGAGCTGTTAAGGATCAGTCCCACTGGGGTGCTGAGCAGGACAGTAAGTCTTGCAGGCTTTTGCCCAGTAGGTTATGCATGTTAACAGATGTTTCAGACCAGCACCTCCAGCCTTTTAACATTTGGAACTTGCTTTTAAGCCTGAACTACAGTGTCATACATACTCCATGTATGCCCCACCCTTAACTCTGTGTATCTCTGCCTGTCTCCTATGTTGTCCTCTCATTGGAGGTGTTAGCTACCCAAAAAAACCCAAGGCTTGGACTTATAGAACAGATTTGCATGTGCTAATTTACATACAGCCTAAAGTCTCTGTGTGTCTCTTTAAAGAACTTGTCTCATAAGAACCCCTAAGAGGGAGGACATTTGCTTTTCGGGAAAGACCTCAAGGGCAAGAGGAGGGGAATAGAAGGTCTTTCTTGGAGTCTCCAGGGGGCTGTGGTTTTCACCTGCCCCACTGCGAGCCTATGGATTCTGAGCTTCTGATTCACCCTGGTCTTGCTCTGTGCTGTGTAGGAGCAGGAGCTGCTCCTTCCTTGCCCCTGCCCTGTCAGTAGACAGCGGCCACCTGCCCTCCAAGTCCTACAGCAAAACCCCACCGAGTTTCAGTCCCGCGCTGGCAAGAGAGTGCCCGCCCTTACCTCTCCTTGGTTTCGGCCGCACGATCCCTCTGGCGCCTGTTCTTGAACCAGTTGCTGACCTGGGTGGTGGTCAGGCCAGTGGCCTCCGCCAATTCCCTCTTCTCACGAGGAGAAGGGTAGGGGTTGTGGATGTACCACTCCCGTAACACACTCCGGGATTTCTCCTGCATGAAAGCAAAGGGCCTTAAAATCATCGAAGTACCCGGCCCAGCAGGAAGGGCAGCATTAGGGAGGGGAAGCGATCTAGCTTTCTTGGGCAGTCATGACTTCAGAAGCCTCCTTCAAGTCCCCTTGTCTTTCTTCCCTGAGCTTTCAAGTGAGAGTCCCAAATAGAATGGGAAAGCCGGCCTTTCATCGTTTAAAAGTGTCCCTTCCTAAGCTCTTTCCAGGTCTATATGCCCTTTCAGAGATGGGGCAACCTCACCTGTACACAATATTCTAAATGTGGCCACATCACAGGTATTTCATGTTTCCTTTCCTAGTAAGGCCTGTTTGGTATCGTTTTTGTTGCTTCGCCTGCCTCGGTGCTACAAGGTGACGCTAAGCTTTTCCTGTGACCCCAGCATCTTTCTTCCTAGATCGCTTCAGCCAAATCATCTCCATTCCCACATATGTGGAGTTTGATTTTTATGTTTACTCTCAATATGAATTGATCCTGCTCAGTCACTCGTATCTAGTTCGGGTGAAATGATTTAATATAACCAGCAGGGGGCAGTGACACTTCTGCCTTCATTGCTGCAATGTGAAAAATGCACAATTTTAATCCTAGATACCATTTTGTGAAGCCCTAAGACTTGGCTGTATTTCTTTAATTTAATGATGAAGGAGAAGATACTTGAGCAAGGAGAAAGTTCATGTTCACTCAAAGGCAGAGAGAGTGATGCTTTTGTGGAGACAAGCAATGGGTACCCCTGAAAGTTCCTCACTAGGGCCGCCATCTTCCCCTTTTCCCCATGGCAGAGCTCCTGTATAGTTAACAGACTTATAACGAGCATCAGTTCAACAGGTGCAGTTTCCTCCTCAGATGGGAAGAGGTCCATAAGTTAAATTTCTGTCTCTCACGCAGCTATTAAAACCACAGGAGCAGTGTATGAATGGCGTCGCTAAGGTTTTGGTTTACACCCCTCCATCTCAAAGCAGTTTCCCCTTTGCCAGCTCAGAGAGATTTGTTTTAATCAGCAGTTAATGCTATTATTTCTACCAGGACTAATACTCCCAATGATATTCCAGCCCTGCATAGGCTTGCATCCTAAATAACAGAAGACAATGGTTTCCAGCACAGGGTTTAATCAGGGACAAGGAAGGATAGTGTGGTTTTAATGGGGTGAGAACAGGACAGGGTTTCCAGCCAGTAGAAAGAACAGGCAGTTTGGAATCTCGGTGGTCCAGGAAAAGCTTTGTGGAATAAATAGTTTTATTTATTTATGATTTTTGCATACTGGGTTCCTTTTGCTTTCCCCTACTATTAAAGCAGCTTTGCCTTTAAAAAGAACAATGATTAAGCTTTGTATCGAGTAGAGCAAAGCAGTAATTAACAGCAGTTGGATTTCAACAAAAACTCCACACCTGCCCCCACTCTGCATGGATTGCCATGAAATCTCCATCCCCTGGTCATTCATATTGCCGTCAGCTGCCAAAGGCCACGCAGCAAATGAGTTTTTCGACTCTTCCAGAATGTGCTGGATGCATAGCGTCTAATGCCACCCAGGGCGCCATTCCAGGACCTTGTATGGGGAAGGAGGTTGAGGAGGAGCTTGGGGGAGAGGGGAGACCGGCATGAAAGGTGGTAAGGAAGGCCCCTGGTGCAGGGGCAGGGAAACTGTGGCTCTCCAGGCTTCAATTCCCATCAGCCCCAGCCAGTGTAGCCCCTGGCCAGGGATGATGAGATTTGCAGTCCGCCACACCTGGAAGACCGCAGACTTCTCACCACTGTGAATATGGTGCCATGAAGTGAAACAAAGAACGCTGCCCCCAGAAGCTCCCCTCCATTTTGCTGGTGGAGGAGAGACCAGCGAGGAAAATGTGTTATGTGAGGAGTGGAAGTGAACTCAGCTATGGTTCAAGCAATGAGCCTTCGCAAAAAAATGGATTCGAGGAGGGCTTTCAAAGGGCTGGGAGTACTAGCAAGATCACGGAGGAGGACCCTCCGTGGGAGAAGGAGAGGAATGGGGTGGGGGGTTGTGCTGAGCAGAGGGGAGACACCGGCAGGGGAAGAAAGCAGCAATTGGCACGGCTGGGAACGCTATGCCAATGCTAAAGGCAACCGAGTCAGGGCAGAGTCTGAAGGAAAGGGGAGGCACATCACTTGTTTGGGGGGCGGCGGGGAGAACAGGTTATTTCAGGGAGGCTGTTGTAAATTCACTGCAGAAGCCCGGCACACTCCAGTGAGCGAAGGCCAGCAAGAACAAGGAGTCATGATAGTCCAGAATAAGGCAACTCGGCTGGAATAGTCACTCGCTAATCCAAGAAGTAAACGTTTTCGAGGAAAAGGTGCATTTTGTGTCTGCACCAGGTGTAATGCTAGGTGGTGGAAGTAAAGATGTCCTCGTTACCTGTCAGCGAGATGGTCTTACCTTGAAACAGTAGCTGGTTTCTTCTCCATCCCAGATGGTCCGGGGCAGGGGGAATTTGCGCCGCACCCTGTATTTTCCTACGGCTCCCAGCGGCCTTCCCCGCAGCTTCTCTGCTTCGATGTAGTGGGCCTTGAGCCACAGTTGCTGCAGCTTGGGGTGGTTGTGTGGCGAGAACTGGCAGCTCTCTAGGACCTTGTAGAGCTCCCGGAAGTTTCCCCTGTGGAAAGCCACCACTGCCTTGGCTTTCAGGACACTCTCGTTCTTGTGCAGGTGGTCACAGGCCGGCAGCGACCAGAGGAAACGGCCCAAGCGCTCGATGTTGCCCCCTTGCTGCAGAACTTCGCACACGCACGCCACTTGCTCCTGAGTGAAACCGAAATTCATGGCTGAGGGAGAGACACGCAGGTTAGGCCACCCTTCCCCAGGGCTGGGGAGGACAGGGCTGCAAACTCAACTGGTCCAGGAGGGTCCACACGCCCGATCTAGCTCCTACATGAAGTCCTACCTACGGGAGGCTTGCTGTCTTCAGAGCACAGAGCAGGAGCTGGCCTGGTGTGGGAGGGGGCACCAGGTCCGTCCCCCTAAGGCCGAAGAGCCCAAGACAAGCGGGAGTCCAGCCTGGCACCTGCCACATTTCTCTCTGGGATGGCCATGCCTCCTTTCCCTCTCCAGTCGGCTGTGCCGTCAGGACTCCCGCTCTCTGCCTGTCTTCTGGCTCTGGAGACGGTCGCCCAGGGTTGATGTCTAGGGGGTATCGGTTACAGGCGCAGCCCACGCAGACTGCAGCTGTGGCCAGCCATTGGCCAACTCAGCAAGAAGAACGAGGGAAAGGCAGACTTTTACCACCGTCACCCTTGGATGGTAAACCTTTCTGCAGAGGGGTGTCAGGATATGGAAACGTGAGATGCCCGCTGCACGGGGGGGGGGGGGGCAGGAGGAGGCAGGTCCCATTTCCTCTCGCATGTGCATCTCCCCTTTGTCTCCCAGGTCTGCCTAAGCCGGTCTGTTAGGATTGCACCTTTCGTGCCAGTGCTTTGAAACTTGGATTTTACTTCCCATCCTGTCAGTTATGGGCTAAGCAGAGCATGAAAACTTTGCCCAGATCCTCTGGAAGTGCTGCTCAGTTCCCCTTGTTTCCTCTTCAGCCCCAGCACCTTAGATTTCACCATGCACAGATCACCTGCACACTTTTCAGCTAGATTCAGAATCCACAAGGGCTGTGCAGGATTGCTTTTAAATGAAGATTAAGTACGATTATTACAGTAGTTTTATTCTTGATTTTAGGCTGAAATGTGACAGTGTGCGTGGTGGTGGTGAGGAGTAACTACCTTTGGTTGCTTTTGTAAAAGCCCTGCTTTTGGGCACTTGGTTTGAAGATTTGCACGGAGTGGTGCATCCGCATGGAACCAAATCATTTGTCTCCCTTTGTTCTCAGTCCTTCTGCCAGGTGACACACCAGCCCCCAAGCCAGAGCTGCCTGCTCCTCGCCTCTGCTGTTTCCTTTTCTTGCCCCCTTGCTCTTCCCAGGTGGAGATCGTGTTTCCCACCAAGCTGGCAGCGGCTCACAAGACAAATAACAAGAGGGCTGGCAAAAGCAGCGTCGCTCACAGCAAGGGAAGGATGCTGTGCTTCAGGAAGTTCCCAGGGGTTCAAAATAGACTTTCCAATCTGCCATCCTTCCTGTCTTGTCTACACAGGACTAAATTTCCTCTAGGATACTACAAAGAGTTAATTTTGCCCACAGCAAGTCTCTCCCTCCACCTGCCTGCTTTCTCACCTAAGGCAGGAACCAGAAAAGCCCCTGAAATGCAACCCCCCAGACAGTATTGCTTTCACAGCCCTCTGAGTAACCCTATCCAAGCTGGATCTCCTTACTTCTTCCCAGAAACTTCTCTTGGACGGGGGCGATGGTGGACCGGGGGGGGGGGGGGGGCGCTTTGTTTTGGCACTAAAGTAGCAGCAGCTACAGCAGAAAACGCCATGCAGAAAATTAATCTGAGGCGCACTCATTCCATCCTCACAACCGCTTTCTCCACAGGAAACCCCCCTACCGTTGTTGCAGGACCTTTCGCAAGTTCTCTAAATGGCCACCCAACTCAACATCACATGTTTTCTTGAGCTCCTATGATCAGCATTCTAAGGAGTGAAAACCTTGGGTTTGGCCCATGGCGTTCGCGGTGGCCAGGCCATGGGACGGGAGGGTGGCCTTACAGCGCCGATGAGGCATGTGCCGGAGCACTAGTGTCAGAAGCCACGGCAGGGGGTGTCTTTTGCCCCCTGCCTCGCTTCCGGGGTTCTTGCCGAGGGCCAGATTCTGTCCTGGGGAAGGTTTTGGTCAGGGTGGGCAGGAGCTAAAGTGAAGGGGCGTGCTTGAAATACCAGTGTCCTGTTCTGAAAGGCGCTTACAGGCAGTCTGGAAGCCTTCGGCGATCCATTTCGGCCTTTCGGAAAGGAGGCAAAAGTCCACAAACCCCGTGAAGCCGCCAAAGGACTGGCGGTTGAAGGAAAGGAGACTAGGGTAGGCCGTGTTTGGGGGAGCATCCAAAGGGCTGGATTTGGCTCCTGGACCGCTGCCCCGTGCCTTGCTCCAGGGACGGTTGGCCGGCTGCTTTTGGGAGCACAGGGCTGAGGACTGAGCGCCCCAGACTGGATCCACGAGTGCAGCATGCTGGAGTCCAAGGCGCCACGGACAGGAGCCGACACAAGGCTTCCCAATTTAAGGGTCATCTAGTCCACCCCACACCTTGTGCAATAAGGGTTTCCCCAAAGCAGCCTTCCACAGGCCAACTTTGCAGCTGTCCAGGCACAACGTCTAAAGCCTCTGGAAGGCCCTAAAGCCATATCCCTCAAATGACCCTTCCCTTTAACGTAAATTGTGAACGTTAAGTTCCTGCATTATGCATGCAACTGTCTCGCTTCTGGCTGCATTCATTTTTTAAATTATCCAACAAGAGAGTCAGATGGGAGGGACCGCTGGGTACGCACCGAACTGAAGATGCTTCCTTCGGGTGTGCGCAAGTGTTGGGCATGCCAAACCAGCAAGTGCCCACCCAAAGTCTCACCAATCCCCATGCTAAATACCACATTTAAACTTCTCTATATAGCCTTAAGGACTAGCTACTTGCAATTCTTTTAAAAACACCACCACAAAACTTAACAGACCCTTGGGATGCTGAATTCCCTGTTGCATTTCAGGTTGTGCACTTGTGATTATAGAATATACAGAACTCTGAAGATTTTGTTTAAACAGTAGGAACTTAACAGTCCTTAAGCATGGAAATAAACTCTTTTTGGACTCTCCGAAACATCTTCCTGCTTTCCTAAAACAGCGACTCATGTGACTTTCCAATAGAGCTTGATACAGGAACAAGATGACTACATGCACATACAGAGCTTTAGGATAAAATATATTTATATATATAAAATATATATAAAAGACACAAATACACATTAAAAACAACAAAAGGAAGATATAAAAATATCTCGTTGAAATGATTGCTTCTCACAAACCGGAGGGAAGAATGTAATACTTGTAGTACCTGGCTGGGAAGACAGAGCAGGGCGTAGTCAGACAATGGAAATGATCGTGAAGGCAGTGCATGGTCGAGTGAGGGGAAGCAAAGCTATTTCCCTCGACATAAATGTTAATATTTTTCTCATTTTTCCCAATAAAATCTGTCAATGGACTCAGGCTGGGGAGTCCCCAGTAACTCCTTTTAACAGCTGTTCAAAAACACATACCGATATCTGGAAAAACCATTGGGCGTACTGAGCAGTTCGGAAATGGGATTAAGAGAACATGGGCCCATAAAAGAAAGAGAAGAGACACTCTAGCCAAGAATTTCTGCCCCGGAGGACTGAAACTAATTGTTCCCTTCTGTGGAACCGCCTACACTGTTTTCTAGTATTAAAGAGCTAGGAAGTCGCCTTTTGCCAAGTCAGACATTTCATTTACCTGTCCCAGTATGTCAAAACCAACTGAAAATGACTTTTCGGTTTCCAGACAGTCCTTCCCCTCACTACTGTTTGCAAAGGAGGTGCTTTACAACTGAGCTATGGGCCTTCAGCTCAGAACAAGATGCTTTTGCTGGCAAGGAATGTGGATTTGTTTCCTTTAAATGCATCAGAAGAAACAAAGGGGCTTTTCAAAGAGAACAGGGGATGAACTCAGCAGTCTGTTGCATGTTTAAGATGCATGGATACTCCATGATGGCTCTAACTTCTACCCATCGCTGCCACACCACCTTCCAAACCGGCTCTGTAAAAGCCCTTTTATTTAGAGGAAGTTCCAAATTAATTGCATTTTTGGGACAGTTTCAATACTTCAACATTCCTTCAACCTCTCAGCGCAGCCTTCAATTTCTAAAGTAGTTCGAGATCTTCAGGTGCCCATCAATTACATGGGTGCAGCATCAGAAAATGTACAATGAAGGCGTTTTTCCACTTTTATCCTCATGATAAAAAACCATTAAATATACAGGAAGGAAAGCTGCCACTGGGTGACAGAAATTAGAGGAAAATAATGGATTTTAAATGACCTTTCTTCTTCTAAATTTTTATTTTATATATAATATATTCTGTGCCTTAAAAAAGGTCGAGCCACTTGCTAATTTAAGGATTTGGAGGTTACAAAGAAAACATTAGTGATAGGGAAAGTTTGGGGTAAACTCAAGTTCGCAATCATATTTTAAGGGGGCCGTTGTGATCCCGTAACGTCCAACTGCATTTTTCCTGCCTAAGTCATATTCTACTGTGGCTTAAGAGACAAATAACATGGTGTCTGCGGAGAAGTCACCGAGTTCAGCAGTGCTCACTCCCGCGGGAATAGGATCATGGCCAGAGTAACTCACTGTACTGCGGTATCAGAACTACCTGTGTGGCCCTTTCAATTGAAGAACTAAACCAATCCCCGATTAACAAATGTGCTTCTGGAACTATTCCTGCATCAGACGGTAGCCCAAGCTTTCCGTTGTCCTCCCACCTGCACAAGAGGATAGAAAGCTGTTCTACAGGTGAAGCACGACCTAGAGGGAGAGGGGAGGGAGAGGGACAGACTGACCAAGACACTCTAGCCAGGCATTTATGCCCTGGAGGACTAGAACTGTCTCTGCATTGCTTTCCCGTGCCAGAGTTCCAATTTAGAGCAGGATATTTTAACTCGGTATGGCTGCATGGACACCTCTCCCCACAGGACTAAAAGCCAGTGAGAACCACAGTGTGGCTGCTCCCTTCCCCTCGAGACTGCTTCCCGGCTGGAACAGACACCAGGTGCGGAAACGGAGGATTTTCCCAGCCCCTCCAAAGCGGGACACGGGACCAGGCTAGCGCACGAAGCCCACCCCTGGCACCAGGGAGCAGGGAAAAGGAAACCGCGTCTTGCTGTGTAAGTGCTCCCTGCCCATGCCCCCCCCCCCATTAATGGGGACTTCCTACCTATCCAAGCTGCATCATGGCTTGGAAGAGACTAGAGGAGTTACTAACAGGCCAGATACGATGAGGCGGCTCCCAACTCCCTGCTGGAGGCGGCCGCCCGAGAGAACAAGTGAAGCTAGTGCTCACTACTTACTACAAGGTGGTACTCCGGGTTGCCAGGCAGGTAGCTGCACCTTGTGATTACTGTGGGGGGGTGGATTGCCCTGGTGTCTTTGTACTGTAGTGTTTGTTCACCCAGCCCTTGCTGCGGGGGGTTCACACGTGCGAGAAGGTGTCTCTCTGATCAAGGCACTTCTAGCAGCCCACACCAGCGGCTGGCACGGGAGCCGAGGGGTGCGAGTTCAAACGAGCACCCCACGGGCTGGCGAAGACCGTTGGCCCCTCGCCACGGAGGCTGCCGCACCCTACAAGTCCAGAGGCTCCTCCACCGGCACCGACTGCAGCTGAGTCAGCACCTTCTCCTCCGAATCGAGCACCTCGGGGTCCAGCGGGTCGCCCCCGGCAGCGTCTAGCAAGAGGCCCTCCCCCTCGGGGAGCCGAAGCAGGCCGCCCTGGTCCCCCAGGGCGCCTTTGTCCATCTCGAACAGCCCGTCGGGGCCGGGGCCGTGCAGGTCCATGCCGACCGAGCTGGGCCACACCACCTGCTGCGGGGCCAGGCCCAGGCCTTCGGGCTGGGAGAAGTTCGAAAGCAGGCTGGCCTGGCCCGAGTCGGTGCCGAAGGCCAGGTCGACCGGCCCAGCACCGCCGGAGGCCACGAGAGGAGAGGCTCCGGGCGGCAGCACTGCCAGCGTGTCCGGAGAGGTCCCCGCCACCTCCTGCTTGATGGGCAAGGGCAGGGCAGGGGCCGGGGCCGCCGGGGCCGGCAGGATGGGGGCCATCAGCATGCCGGCCGGGAAGGTGGCCGTCAGGATGAGCTTGCCCTGCTGCAGAGCCATGCCCGTGACGATGGTGCCGCTGCCCGTCGCTGGGTTGGCCAGGAGGATGTTTCCTGTGTGGGAGAGGAGAGGAGAGGAGAGAGGAGGAGAGATCCCGTGCGCACTGAGATCCCTGCAGGCCTGGCCTGGCTCCCGCCTCCCCGTCCACGCAGTCCGTGAGCACCGGCCCTATGATGGGCCCCCCGTTTTGACCACGAAGGGGATTCTGAGCGGCTGCCAGGCAGGGCTCAGCGCTGCAGGGCCTGCAAGTGGCAGCCAGAGGTGGCACGGCTGGGCCCCTGGCGGGGGCATGCCCCAGGAGGGGCTCCCCGGCCAATGCCTTCTGAAGGCGCCCTTGCTGTTCCCCGTGGCACCGTGCTCCCCGGTGCTCGATTTGTCAAGGAAACTGCTGACACAGTGAGAAAGGGGAGGCACGAGAGCAGCCACGGGGGAGAGACAGACCGCCTGGGAGTCCAGGCTCCTGCTTCCCAGATCCGTTGCCTGGAGGGCTGTCACGGGGGCCGCTCGACCTCCAGCAGCTTGCCCTTGGTCAAACTAGGCCCTCGAGCCAAGCCCTCGGAGCAGCCTTCCCAAGCTGGGTGCCCCAGGGCGCTGCAACCACCCTCTTCCCCAGGCTACCGGCCCCACTGTTGGCGCGAAGCACCGGCTCAGCCCCCGGATGGCTCCCACGGACTTCCTCGGGCACTTGCCCCCCGCCGCCCTCCCAGCCGCTCCGCCCCCGCGGCACGTACCTGGTGCGGCACCCGGGATCTGCAGGGCCGTCATGCCCACGCTGGTGCTGATGACGTGCACGTTGCCCTGGCTGAGGGTCCCACCCGCCACGGTCGTCTGCGGCGCCCCCGCCACGGGGCCGAGCTTGATGGGGGCGCTGCTGGCCAGGACCTGAATGGAGCCGCCCACACCCTGCTGCAGCGCCATCACCTGGGAAGTGGGCACCACCTGGGGCAGGGAGATCACCTGGGACCCCTGGGCCACCTGGGGCAAGGAGACAAGCTGTGGGGCGGGCGCCCCCGGGGGCACGGCGTAGATCTGCGTGGGGGACACGGGCACCATCTGCGGCGGGGAGAGGACCTGGCTGCCCGACACAGGCTGGGAGAGGGGGACCACCTGGGAGGGGGCCGACCCCTGGCCAAGCGGGACCAGGGGCGGGGCGGGGCCATGGAGGACGGCCGCCTGAGCCGGGGAGGACCCTGGGATGGAGAGCAGCGGCGTGGCCGCCGGGGGGGGTGCCGCCAGCACGACGGGGGCGCTGCCCGGGGCCACGGCCGCCAGGGGCGTGCCCAGGGTGTGGGTGGCAGGCAGCAGTTTGGTGAGTGGGACTATCTGGGGGGTGGACGCGACGGAAGGCTGAGGCCCGGGGGGCAGGTGGGGGGCTGCGGGCGCCTCTTCGCCGGACGGGACCACTTGAGACATGGGCACGGCGGCGAAGAGCGCCCCCTTGTGATCCGAGAGGAGCGTGGAGGCGTCGGGCAGCGCCAGGAGCGGCGGGACGGCCTCGGACTTCACCTCCACGCCGAATGCCAGCGCCTCGCCCGCCTCGGCCTTCACCTCGCCCTGGAGGGGCCCGGAGCCGAGGATGACTGTCGCGGGGGGCAGGGGCACCTGGGAGCCCTTGGGGAGCTCCTGGCTGCCGTCGGGGGCGGCAGACCTGCCCCCCAGGAGGGAGGGGGAGCCGTTGAGGAGGACGGGGGGGGCTGGGGGCAGCCACGGGGCTGAGGGTGATGGTCTGGCTCTCCCCCAGAGCCAGCCCGTTCAGGATGACCCCCCCGCTGGGGGTCTGGATGACCGATCCGCCGTTGAGCAGCATGGTGGGGGCGCTGGTGGTGATGAAGTTCCCGTTCAGGAGGATGGAGGAGGCGCTGGAGCAAGCCGCAGGCAAGAACAGGCTGCCGGAGGTCGGGCCGCCGTCGGGGGGCGTGGAGACCCCCACGGCCGCTTCCGTCTCCTCAGGACCGTGGCTGGACTCATCCTCCGTGCTGGGATTCCCATCTGACTCACTGTAGGGGAGGAGAGCACGGGTGAAGGATTCCCCCTGGAAACCCCCAGCACCCCGAAGACCACAAAGGGGCAAGGCTCGAGCGTCCTCCATCCCTCCTGGCAGCCCACCCTTCCCATTCCTGTGCCTCCAGCTTGCCAGGCTATGAGTCCCAGCATCCCCCAATGGCTAGACTGGAGAGGGATTCTGGGAGTTGTAGTCTACCCCATCTGGAGGGTGCCCGCTTGGGAATGGCTGGACAGAGGGCAGGAATGCGCATGCACGCTGGATCGATGTCTATTTCTCACCCTCTCAGCACAACTCAGTCAGATTGTGGCACTGGGAAAACATCCCAGGCAGAAACGATACCATGAAGTCAGGCTGGTCCCACAGGGCCAATCATGCTCCAGGTTCGACCCCAAAGCAGCTCCGGAAAGCCAGCCTGGCAGGAGGACAAGGGGAGGCTGCAGGTCGGAGCGGGTGGCTGCGGACTAAGCCGAGATCGGCTGCCCGGTGTTCCGGGTCCATCAGGCTGGGCGATGGCTGAGGTTTGCTCGCTCACCCAGTGGGAGGGGAGGGGACAGGAAGGGAAAAAAGAAACCCAAAGGAAATTCAAAGGCCGGGATTCGCATTTCACAACAAAGGGGAAGAGCCGTCCACATTGCTTGCTTGCTTGCTTGCTTGCTTGCTTGCTTGCGCTAACTTGAGGCAAAGTTTTAACACAGGGAAGGAGAGAGAAAGAAGGGGGAGCCCAGCTGCAGGAACATCTGGAATGGCCAGCTTGGCTATTCTCCACCCCCCACCCCCTTGAACAGTTGGTAACAGAGGAATGTGCTGGAAGTTTCTCAAGCTTCGGTGGTTTCTAGCTTTTGTTTGTGCAGGGAAGGGGGGAAGGCTGGCGAAGGAGGCCTTTTAAACCTCCGCCACACAGGAGAGCGGCAGAAGGCAGAACAGAGGAGCTGAGGGTGCCCCTCGGAAACACCTCCCGGCTCTCAGCATCCTTCCCGAGGAGACCAAGGCAGAACGAGGAGGAGCATAAAATGTGTGTGACCAGCTCACAACAGGCATGAGTGTGACCCGCTGAAGGGTGCAAGGCTGTGTCCCTCCCTTTGCTGCGCTTCAGTGTGCACACATCAGCGCTTGCTGCCAGGTTTGGCCCTTGCTCTGTTCTCCTTGATTTACCCAAGTTTGGAAAGATGGGCGAGGGTCAGGGCTTCCTTCTTTAAGATGGTCCTTCTTCCTTCCCCAACCTGGTGTTCTCCAGATGTGCTGGACTGCAACTCCCATCATCCCAGCAGATGATGGGGTTGTAATCTGACACATCGGAAAGGCATCCACCCGGGAAAGATGATGGGTGTTTTCTAGAATGTTGCAGGATGAATTACAGAAAGGAATACAAGCACGGGAGCCACGTACCATCCCGTGAATGCATTTCTTCAGAGCTGCTCGATTCAACCTTTATAAAAAGCACCTGGCATTTCCAGGGGTGGAGTTGTCAGGCCCTTGCAGGTGATCTTTGCAGGTCTTAAGGAAAGCTCTGAAGACCCACCTTTCATGCGGTCATTGTGTCTCGGTGTTGTTGGCAATTGCGGCTTTTATTGGGAAGCTCAGCTTTTGGAGATTTTGGGGTGCAAGACATACGCTACTGCACCCAGTCTGTAGGGTTTTCTCTCGCGAGAGTTCTACCTCTAGAGGTGGGCTAAGGATAACTTCAAGCAAAGGGAAATAAGTCCTTACACTAAGTTCTCACTGTAAATAGAAATTTCCCCTAAATCTGGACTACAGCACATAGGTCTGAGTCTGTCTAGAAAGTCAGGTGTTCCACAGAGGGCAAAAACACCTGCGATTCCCTCAACAGCCTCCAAAATCTTCCCAGCTACTTCATGGTGCTGGAGGAGAGTTGCGGGTCCATCAATTTGCCTTGGAACAGGTCCAAACCCCCCCCCCCCCATCAGCAGCTTGTCTGCAAGACTTAAACTTCTCCCTTGCCTCCCTATACCTGGAGAGGGTTAGGGTTACCCTGACAAAGTTTGCACTACAATGCCCATCAGACTTAGCAAATACAGCTGAGGGGGAAGGCCAATGGAAGTCACAGGCCAAACCATCAGGGGGGTCTGAAGCTGTCCACACCTTCAGACTGGGCTTGGGCAGAGTCTATGACTGGCTCACAGCAGGGACTGGTACCCAGAGCGCCCAAGTTCCGGTCCCACGCTCCTAAGTGCTACACCACACTCCCTTTGGCCCATCAGTGCGGCCACCGAGAGCAGGGCCGATGGCCCAACCCCGCGCGCGCGCCCCCCCGGCACCCCAGACCGAGCAAGGCTGCGCCAGGCGCTCGGTCCTGCCAGGCGCTCTGCCCATGCCCAGAGGCGCGCCCGCGCGCCTGCCCGCCCGCCCGCGCGCTCACCTCTTGCTGGGCGTGCCGGCGCCGCCTCCGCCGCTGCGGTCGCGCTGCCGCCGGTTCTTGAACCAGTTGCTGACCTGCGTGAGCGAGAGGCCGGTGTCGCGGGCCAGGCGGCGCTTCTGGTCGGGGCTCGGGTAGCGGCTGCGCCCGTAGGAGTCGCGCAGCGCGGCGCGGGAGCGGCGCTTGAAGCAGTACACGGTCTCCTCGCCGTCCCAGATGGTGCTGGGCAGCGGGAACTTCTTGCGCAGCCGGTACTTGTCGACGGCGCCCAGCGCCCGGCCGCGCGCCGCCTCGGCCTCGCGGTAGCGCGCGCGCAGGTACAGGTCCTGCAGGAACGGGTGGTGCGGCGCGCCGAAGGGCCGGCTGCGCACCAGCCGGTACAGCTCGCCGAAGTCGCCGCGCTGGAAGGCCAGCAGCGCGCGCGCCTTGGCCACGCTCTCGCCCGCCTGCGCCTCCAGGCAGCGCGCCTCGTCCTCGGCCGGCAGCGAGCCCAGGAAGCGGCCCAGCCGGCCCGGGTCGCCCGCCTGCAGCAGCGCCTCGCACACGCACGAGACCTGC